GGAGACCACATCTCACCTTTTCTTTTTTCTTTTTATTTATTTATTTATTTATAGTGATGGATGCATTATCCTCTATAATCAATGAATATGTAGAGGAGCTCATACCTTCAAATTCTATTAGAGATGTGATGCATTGAAAATCACTCACCTCTTATATGCAGATGACCTCATGTTATTCTGTCATGGTGATATTACTTCAGTCTCCATTTTGAAGTCTGCCCTTGATCATTTTTGTTGTATGTCAGGACTGGACATCAACCTCTCCAAAAGTAATGTGTTCTTCTTTGGAACTGATTCCCACACAGAAGCTGCTATCACATCCTTGCTTGGCATTGGCATAAGATCACTTCTAGTAAGATATTTAGGGGTGCCACTTATCTCTACTAATTTGAAAACAACCCACTGCAACCTACTTATTGAGGAAATTACAAGTAGAATATCACACTGGTCCTCTAGATCTCTCTCTTATGCAGGTAGATTTCAACTCATCAAGGCTGTTTTGGTCTCAACTCAAGTCTACTGGCAAACATTTTCATTCTCCCCAAAGTAGTCATCAATGAGCATAATCAAATATTCAGGTCATTCCTTTGGTCAGGACTTGAAATGAAGACAAGTGGATCAAAGGTGGCTTGGAGAAAGGTTTGTTTGCCAAAGGAAGAAGGTGGTCTTGGTATTCCAAACTTAGAGGTTGGTAACAAGGCTGGAATTTTAAGATATACTTGGGACTTGCAGACAATTGGCAATGACAGGATTTGGATCAATTGGTGTAGAGTACATCTCATCAGATCAAGGAACTTTTGGACAATCAATATCCCACAACCTTGTTCCTGGAGCTGGAGGAAAATTTTACAACTCAGACATCTTGCTAAGCTACTTCTCAAGCACATAATAGGCAATGGCTCTCAAACTTCCTTCTGGTTTGACAACTGGTCCACAGGTGGTCCTCTATGCACTCATTTCCCACTTAGCATTCTCCAAAATGCTGGATACAATGATTCAATCACAGTGGCCAGCTTCATAGATAACTCATCCTGGTCTTTCCCCAATTCACTATCAGCTGCCATACCAGAATTGTTTCTGCTCCCTCCACCATGCTCCTCTAGAGATGACTTAAAGCATTGGTTGGCATCACTAAATGGACTATACAATTTCAAGCATACAACAATGCACCTTACACAGCGTGCACCATTAGTTCATTGACACAATTTAGTCTGGATCTCTCCCACAATTCCGAGGATGAAGGTCAACCTCTGGTTAGCTATCCAATCAAAGGCACCTACTCTTGACAGCAGATCAATGTCTAATCATGACAACATATGTGCTCGCTACCAAAATCAACCAGAATCCCACCACCACCTTTTTTTCAACTGTTGTTTTGTTTCACCAATTTGGCAATTCATCAAGCTCAAATGTAAATTCTTTACTGCAATCACAAATTGGGATCAATTGTTGCAACTGATCAGTGCTAATTGGAAAAGAAACTCTCCAGAGAATCTACTTCGCAATCTCTGCTTCTCATCTGTTGTATATCACACTTAGGAAGAAAGGAATGAACGGATCTTCAAAGGAAAGAGCTCCACGCAAAGGATGGTCCTTGTAAAAATCACTTCAACCATCACTGCTATTCTCAAATTGGGTTTCCTACGTGACTGCCCCTCCTCTAGAAGAATCCTCTCCGACTAGGATCTCTCCCATGCTTGTTGCCGACCTCCTCTGAAGCTGCCGGACTGATTTTTGGAACCGATCACAAACTTTAGGGCTACTAACCGGAATGAGTACTAACAACCACTATTAACGGCCAAACAAGCCGTTAATTGCGGTTACAATTTACGATAACTTAGAAAATCTTTAACTTAGAAGATCCAAGTCCGATGATTAATTTTTATAAGAAAGGGTATATAAGGCTCAAACACGTGACTTGTGTCGTCTTCACCCTCACATCATGTCATGGTCACATTTAAACTATTAAATAATGAAATCTCAATTGTCCTTATAATTTATATACTTCACAAGCACAGAACTTTCTTAAATTTCAAGTTGAGAATCTATAGGAATTGAAAGAAATGTGAATATAGATGATGAAGGGGTAAACTAGCAGTAAGTAAACTTATTATGTTTTGTTACGTTCAATTATCCTTATATGTATATATTATGTTGTTCACTAAAAAAACATGAGGCATTGAGGCCTGTTTTAGAAATTTGGTGAAAATGGTAAGAATAATCGTATCAATTTGTCATTTCGGTTCAATTCTAGTTCCAAAATGAGGAACAATTAATTTACGATTTTGAATCCAAATCCGATGGAACATAACAGTAAACTAAATATATATATATATATATATATATATATATACAATATAACATATGTAGATAAAATCATAAAACTACATACAAATACACAGTAATATAAATTTTTAGACTACACACAAATATAAGGCTACTGTTAAACAGTTTTTTACTTCTAAATTTCATATTTGTTTCACAAAAAGGATAATAGTTCACTTGTTTTTAAATTACAAATATATTTTATTTCTCTGTTGAGAGATTTATTATTATTTATTTGTTGTATGAACTTGTATTTGCTTTGATAAGCCAAATCTTTGTGCTTAAAAGTGAGTTATTGAGTTTTTTTAGTTTTTTTTTTGAAAGGTAAAAAGAGAAAAAAAAATTCGTGGTTTGGAATCGAACCAAACCAGACTTTCAGAGTTTGGTTCCAAATCTCAACAATTTTGATTCTGTAACTAATTTTTTAGAAACCGTTAAAATTGGTTCGGTTCCAATTTAACTTGAGCCGAACCGAACCAATTCAGACCATGTGCACACTTAGTTTCTTGTACTTGGTTGATGATTCATTCATTCCAATTCAGAAAAGACCAAAAACCAATCGATCTAATTAAACCATCATCATCACAATTATTGTCTTACCCATGTATAAATATCTTTGATTACATGAAATTTTTTTCTCACCAACCTTTCTTATTGCATGTTATTTCACCTATCATATTTAACTTTTTAAAAATTATTTTTAGTAACCTCGACCTATTTTAATTTTTAATGGTCCCGTCCATCTCTTATCTTGCAATTACAACTTTCTCGTAGTCTTAATTACCGTGTTAGCTCTAACTATGGTCATCAACACAATTTCTAGGGAATTTGTTTTTTTATCGACCAAATAGTCATAGAAATTTGCTTTTTAGTGAGCAAATGTTTGTAAAGCCCCTTCCGTAGGATCACTAAAAACCAAATTTTCTTTTTAAACTTTGATCAATGAAAGAGTAATTATATATATATATATATATATATATATATATATATATCCAGCACACCTGACCATGTGGACTGTCCAGCCTCTCAATTGGTATCTGCATGTAATGTAATTTAAATTACTTTAGATGAAAATGTTCACATTTCCTTTAACAAAATCTCAATATATATGCTGCCGATCTCGTACTTGCTCCGGCTTTCGACGCCAATTTTATGTGACTTAAATTATGACTTATTTTTATTTATTTGTTAATTGTTGTATGATAATGGATTAATTTGAATATCTAAACGCCGACTTTTGTTTGAAAACTTGCCCTCAATATGAGTAAAGTTTGACTTGCGGTAATACAGTGTTATTAATTTTGAGGTGCATTAATTTGTGCTCTTCATAATTTAGTTTTATTTTTGTCACACTACCTCAAAAAATACTAATATATATATATTTTGCTAACTATAGAGTACAAATTTAAATTCTATCCTCCATTTGATCACGTGCATGACAATGTTGTGAAGTCAGAATAATTAAGCATATATAATTGCGATTAGCTGATTTTTTAATCACTTTGCAATAAATATTTAAAATATGCCACGTTGTTTATGTCTTGTGCATAAGTAAAATTTTGGTAGTATTGTCATTTTGAAATCGAGCTAGTTAAGTTAGAGAAGAGGAAAGGAAAAAGGAGAAAAATGTTGCATTTTCCGTATAATGTTTAGCAGCATGTTCCTTTTACATGTCATGGAGACTATGGAGTGCAATTTTATTTTATTTTATTTTTATGTGATTGACAAAAAATTTACATACACATCATTTACACACTTACTTTGCTCTTTCAGAGGCTTAAACTTTCACCATCTACTTCATGAAGTAAATGAGATACCATTGGGCACAAGGCCCTTGGTATTATGGAGTGGAATTTTTTTTTTTTTTTTTTTTTTCTTAGAACACGTGTATCGGCCTCACAACACACGGATTATTCAATTCAGGAATGCGGTTTGAAAGCGAAACCTCAATAACTTACCTTCTGGATTCCTGCCAACGCAATTATGCTCCTAAGAGGCACTTTGGAGTGGAATATGCAGCATACAAACTCAAGAAAGCAAATTTTAGGTCAAAAAATTAAAGAAAAAAAAGAACGTAGCACATATTGCATGAACGAAAAACCGTTAACTTACTTTCGATCTAAATATAAGGTTCAATAATAAGAATAAGGAATAAATCAAGAATATAATGAAACTCGACTCGACTCATTTGCAGCAATACCTCTTCTCTTTTCTTTCTCTTTCATTCTTTGCTCCTTTCCTCCTATAATTAAAATGATAATAAAGTGCACCGAGCATACCAAGTCATTAATATGTTACTTACCTAAAGAAAAAAGTCATTGATATATTCAACCAATTCATATGTACCATTTAAGTTGGTTGGTCCCACATATTCATAAAAATTGCTCTCAATCAATTTGAATGGTGCATTTTAATTGGTTAGGCATGCCAATGATTAAGTATGCCCCGCGCACCCTGTACCTAAAGACTTGGCTACCTGATCTGGCCCAATTGTCCCTTATGGGCTTGTTCTGAAATATCTTGACCACGCCTAAAATCCATTGGGAATATGGTTTTGCTACTGAACCGATTAGAATTAAATTTTTGAGCTTGCCAAATAGGCCGGTGATCACGGCCCAATTAATGAAGCCCATATGGCATATATCACCAGCGGTTGCTAAATTTTAAGGGCCCATTACCTTCCCGTTTCTCCAACCAAACTGGGCCTAGAAAACCCTAATTCACCTCCAGCAGCGGAAATATAATACGTTAACGATATCAGTCTTCCAATTTCCTGCCAAAACCTAAAAACCTAGGGTTTTTTCACCTCCAGACATGGTACTCTCTCGCTCTCTGTCTCTCTGTATCTCTCTTCTGTTGAAATATACATGTATATGTAGGTATATGCACATATATGTATGAGTGGTGTTGAATATTTGTAGGGAAAAGGAACAGGAAGCTTCGGTAAGAGGAGGAACAAGACTCACACACTGTGTGTCAGATGCGGCCGCCGTAGCTTCCATCTCCAGAAGAGCCGTTGCTCGGCTTGTGCCTTTCCTGCTGCTCGGGTCAGAAAATGTAATCTCTCTCTACTTTCATCCGATTAATAATCCTTGATTTATTTGTTATTTGATGCGATTTACAGTTTAGATTCAACTGTTACCTTTTTTGTTTTTGGTGTTTCGTTCAATTTATAATATTGCTTTGTTTGGTTGCTGAGAAAATGTACAGGAACCAAAAGGAAAATACAAGTTAAAGTAACTGGACCTTTGGTTCTGTGTGGCATTAAGAATTGATTTATATATATGTATTCAATTGAATTTGGTTGCTGCAAACAAAAAAAATCGTTTTCTTTGTTGGAATCAAACAAGGAACAAGATACGGCTCTTTTTTAGCTTTGGTTCAATTTCTTGCACCTATTCCACAAATTTTAATTTATTTGCTCTATATATGTCACATATCAGTAGATCTATGATTCTTATGAAAAATTACTTATCGTCTGTTTGATAAAACTGAAAATGGAGTACCCGAATTTTTAATAATTGAATTTTTAAGGGCTGGAAATTTTAAGTGGAAATAAAAATTGAGATTTTATTAATTTCTTTTTTATTTTATAAACTTTTACACTATTTTAAGTCTAGCTTACCTTTTTAAGTAATATTCAAATTTTCATTGTCAAACGCTCTTAATTGGATTAGAAGTTAATACATTTAGAATAAGTGCTGGTGCCTTAGTGATTTCGTCTCAACTTTTTTCTCTTTTTATGAAACAATGTTATAATTGAGCTATATTAGAGGGTCAGAGTATTCACTGTAATTGACTGTTGCTTAATTTGTTTATTTATTCATTTACTGTAAAGTTACAATACTTGTAAATCTATCACTCATTTTACGTTGTGTTTGTGTTTGATTCTTGATTTTCCTTATTTACTTTGGACCAATCTAGTTGCATGTTGTTTGATAAAGTGCTTTGATACATTTGCTATTTTTCTGGCCAATTGTTCTTAAACTTTGCATTTAAGTTCCAAAGATCAGGACTTCTCAAAAAAAAAAAAAGTTCCAAAGATCAGGAATTTTTATCCCCTGCTTCAACCTCTTGGGGCCAATTTAAAAATGATTTCATTTTACTAATTTTTTTTACTGTATTGAATTTGACTTCAGATAATTGGAGCGTGAAGGCAATCAGAAGGAAGACCACAGGAACTGGCCGTATGAGGTATCTCCGTCATCTTCCCCGCAGGTTCAAGAGTAACTTCAGAGAAGGTAAACAGTTTGTACATCTTTGGAGGCTTTTTGTCTATATTGTTATTTGATCATTCTTATTTTAGTTTGATTGATTGGTTTGTTATATTATTGTTTGTTTAGGAACTCAAGCAGCTCCGAGGAACAAGGGAGCCGCTGCAGCCTCTTAAGGTTTCAAAGGATAATTTCAGTCTGTTTTAGTTTCCATTTCTTGAACTTAGCAAGAGAAACAAATTTCCATTTTGTGTATTGCGTACTGGTTTATTATCAGTTACAAGTTGTTTGGCTATGTTGGGGATTTTGAATGACTGCTTTAATTTGATGGTGAGAAGTTGTTTCTTTTATTTCTGATTCCATGATCAATAGTTTTCTATAGATTTTCAACATGGGTTTGCACTCTAGGTTGACTTAAAGAGGAAAATTGTTCTGAAATCAACTATAGGTTGTAACCCATAACGCATGGTTGTTGATTGGTTTGCTTTATTGTCTTTGTCTTTCATATAAAAATAAAGACATCAATGTTGTTGTTGGTTGATTTGGTGGACCAAATGCAGTTTGGGGCTTAATCTTGTTCCGTTTCAGGAAGTCTATGGTGGTTATCTTTTTTTATTTAATTAAAATTTGATTAGGTTATTTCTTCTGAATAGGCTTGTGACTTGTCATGCTAGCGAGGAAAGTGCTCCAACTCCAAAATGGCGAAGTGACAGTTGGTGTTAGACATTCATACTTAAATTTAAGGACAACGACCTAGATTAATTAGTTGTTTGATAATCAAAGTTGATGAAAGGATAATAATGAGAAGAAGTTGACTTGATTATGATTTAAGCAATTAGTTGAATCAGGAGAAAAGAGGAAGATGAAATGAAAGATGACACAAAAGATAAGATTTTAATGTGTTAAACCAAAATGAATGTTTAAGCATTTAAATCCATCACAAATGGATTCTTATGAAATATAGATAGCTTTTCCTGGTGAGATAAGGGTATTGGAGAATTTAATAATATAATGTTTACCATTAAAGTCATATTATGTTACCAGGACTCGACTATTTCAATTAAATGATAAATTCTAGTTTTATGTAGCATATCATGTTTTTTAAGTATGTAAGACTTGTCCACGCACCTATATCCAAGTTTTGGACACATTGTAAGCTGAGCTCACGTGTCCTAAATACAATTAAATGAGGTCCGACACAGACACATAGACACACATTTGCATCTAATACGAGTGCCAGTTCAATTCTTGAATTGGGCAAAGTGTGTTCTCACGCGTGATGTCATAAACTCATTGCTATTAAATTGTAAACATGATTATGGAGATACGATTATCCACGTGATCTAACTATTAATTGCAGGCATTTTAGGACTTATCTTGTATTTTATTATTATGGAGAATCACATGCACCACATATCACCATTTTTATAAATGTTATTTTTGGGGGTGTTTGATTAGGATTTTACCTTAATTGCCTTTATATATTGGGCTTCATACATTGAGTTGATTACTTTTGATGTTTGATATATTGAGTATAGAGATGCAGATTTTCTTCTATAAATTATTTTTCCTTCCTATTATTCTTCTTTCTTCTCCTGTTCTCCATTGGTTTGTGCATCAAGTTGGTAGAATAGCACTATTCTGTCTTGCTTCATGTGATATCACGATTTATCCATATTCATGGTGTGGAATGGGGATGTGATGATTGTAGTGGTGATCCATATGTGAAATGGGGATGCAAGCAACAAAATGGAAGATGGAAATATGGAACGGGAAGCTAGAAATTTTCAATTGTTAGAGTGGAGTGTTGACCTTATTTTGCCTAAATCTTGTTGCCCCAAGACCTAGGTTTTTGGTGTTGACTCTAAGATATGGATGGTAAATATCTTCACCTCCCAGTGGTATCGTGTGTAGTCCTTTTTTGTTTTAAAAATTTTGCTGGGGTTTTATATTGGATTTGTTCCAGTTCAATGAAAAAAAAAAAGGGTAAAATTCTGATATGCATCAAAATGCACTGAGCAGACCAGGAATGTTCATTGAGATATTGTTTGGTGAGAAAATGCACCTTGTGGATTTAATTTTTTGGAATGTTTATGCTGGTCATATAAGAGCCGGAGGGGTCGCTGGCTTAGATTTACGTACCTTTCTGGAAATCAGTATATAAGAGGACTATTTGTTTTGAGGATCTGCTCATTTCTTTTCTTCTTGTACTATATTCTCATTCGTTTTGTTGATTGTGACTAATAGGTTTCCACAAATCAGACATTTAATGAAGCTCTCACTTATTCTCAAAGCTTAGTCGGATTCGAGTTGCCATGTTTGGTAGTGATGATAGCCAAGCCCGTTTGTTGTTGAATTTCGTTGAGTTTGGCTTGCTTGTTCTTTGAGTGAGCATAGTATATAGGTTATGTTTAGTCATACGAGGGCACTCTCAACTTAACCATGCACATTGAGGAATGTATCACAGAATCTTGTATATGTTGTTTTACATCTGTTTGCTAGACCAGTATTTGCTATTAAAAAAATATATATATATATATATATATATATATATATTCATATAAACTTCTATGCAGAGGATTTTTGTGGACAAAGAGCTCCAGAGCTTAATTTCCATGGTTGTAGCTTAGAAGCCGAGTGATGCCTAAAATGTACAAAGCCGCCAAAATGTATTGTACCCATGTCTTAACTTTTTCATGGTGTTGTATACCCAAGTCTCTCATGGTAAAACGGGGTTATCATTTTATTATGACAAAAGTTATTTGCCCAAAAATCCCTTATAAAAAAATATTATCTTCTTAAGGCCATCATTTAGAATTATGCAAGGGAAAAAAAAGTGAAATTGCTAAAAGACAAGAAAGCTCAATTCAAATAATTCTAAATGATTTTATTGATTAATGTGAAGTTGATATGTATTTTATATTATTTCATTCGTAGCCAACACACGCACAAAGGAGGAAAAAAAAAAAAAAAAAAAACAGATATTGTTGTGGTTTTTTTAGTTCACTCTTTTGCATCCCGTCTTTTTGGGGTAGTTCGATCAACAAAAAAATGGTGTTGTGATGTTGCAGTAATAATTGATGAGATTTTGTGAGGTTAATTTCACAAATTTAACCTTTTATCCTATAACTATACTGTTCTTTTGGTTGACATTTTATGGTTACACCCACTATATTATTTCTCTAAGGTCAAGAAAATTGATGGTTGACTTACTCATTATGCAAAATGAGTGCTCGTACTATTTGCCAGGTTTTGTTTCAAAACAGAACAAAACAAAACAGACCTGTCAAATGTTTTACCCAAGTCTGAAAATCTATGTTCTTTCTATGCCCATACGTATACCTCTACGCTAGTTCCATAACATAACAAGTAGGTGTTGACTTATGCAAAATAAATTCAAATTGATTTGTGACATTGTTAACACAAGTCTTACTTTGAAATCGATAAATTTCATAATACAAAATTAATTCAATTCCGATACAAACAACGCAGCCAGAATTTCATTCTTTTTTATTTGCCAGAGAACCGTTCAGCCTTTGGAACTAAACGTTCCCATGCAATTGCAACACAAACAATACTACCAGATAAACTGTGTTTTTTTTTACAACAAAATTTTTAACTAGCACATTGTAACCTTTTAAGTTCACTTCGAAATCAAGCCCTTCTAGTGGTTTTTCGCCGCCTTGTCTATGTTTGAACTGGTCCAAACGTATGATGCACTTCACTCTAGCTTGATCCGAAGGCTTCATGTTTTTCCTCCTGTAACAGAACTTCAAAATTAGTATCGGTTTTGAGCTATCTTGAAATTTTTGATTGCTCACGCTTACAACAATTATAAACCACAGTTGCTAAAAGTATTCGAACACATACTAAATGCACCTAATAGGAAAGACACACAGGCGTGGATCTGTATTTCTGTTAATGTTTGAGCCAGTAGTTCCGAAGCTGAGCCATGTGCAATAGTATCTCATCTCGACCTTGATTGGTGACACTGCTGGTCATAATCCAAGGCGGTGTTGTTTGGAAGAAGTCGCGTATCAACTCCTGAAAATCCTGCGCATTTTCTTCAGGTCTTTTCCCTCCATTCTTTTTCTTTTTTCGCTTGTCACATTTGGTAAAGATTAACGTCATGGGAATCTGAAAGCAAACAAATTAGGTTCAGTACATTTTCCGCTACAACCCAACACCATTGAGGAGAGGATAGTATTGTTCAACAAGAGGAAATCATGATCAAGATGCTTATCCAAGAAACTGAATGCACAGGGTATTGTTCAACGGCCTGTACAAGAATAGCCAACTCAATAAAGAGTATAACTCCATGCATTTTTTGAATTTTGAGACATGCGTTGAAACGTTCTAACCAACCACTTTTGGCTAAGCACAGCCCTACCAAACTTTTTCCAGAAACCATCCCTACAACAACTTGGTCAGAGTAGAAGAAAGGGGTGAAAAACACCGAGAACAAAATAGAAATGATGGATGCAAACAACATTTGAAATCGTAGACAGATAGCAATATCCAGCTGATATATCTAGGGCAAGGCCAAAAAAGGAAAGATGTAAACAAGACCCACTCAATCTTTTTCTCTAGAAGGCCATTACCTAATGTTTGACCCCACCTATGCAAGACGCTGGGAGGGAAGAACTAGAGATAGACCTAACCTTCAGCATTATTTTGCATGAGGTGACTGCTCTCTAACTCGATTCCATGTTCTTGGCCCAAAGTAACTTATTTTTTTGGTTTCTAAACAAATAAAAGAAAAGAAATTACCTTATTTTGACCCAGCCAACTTGCATATTCAAGATCAATCGGTTTCACAGGAATGCTAGCATCTACGAGAAGGAATACTGAGACCAAAGTCGGACGATTTAGGAAATAATCTTTAGTGAACTTTTCCCAATCTTTTCGGAGGTCCTGTGGTGCCGATGCATACCTGTTCAATGTAGATACAAATATTGTAGTAGTAAACCATAGGAATCATTAGAACTCAACTCAACAAATCATTTTTTCCAGCTATTTGGGAATGATTTCATGGATCCTATTTTGTCATTCTACTCTACTTAGGACCAAATCCTCAGTTAAACCACGAGCTATCATATCTTGCAACTCACAAGCCCACAAAAGATTTGGTTAAACTGAATGAAATGAAGTTAAACCAACAAATGTCATTACAAACCAATTAAGTGATAGCATTGTGACAACCAAAAACTTTATGACAGAAAGAGTGAGAAGAAAAGAAATAACACAAAAAAATAAAATAAAATAAAATAATAATAATAATTTAGACTATTTAAGAAAGGGACTAATTAGGTTCAGCACTGTTTTCTAGCCATCTTTGTTCTTCCTTTCGAAAATCAACCTCATAACCACATTTCATTTAGAACTGAAAAAAAAAAACTGATGACAAACTTAATAGAGTTCTATATGTCTTGTAGTATGAATTAACACGGAAGAGTTTCTAATAAACTTGTTATAGTCTTACAGACGGCACACTAATATAACCCAACTGAGAGGACGACATTGTTGAGTATTTCACATGTATGAAATCGACTTATAAAATAAAAAAAATATAAAATATATATAAAACATAATGGGCAAGAAGCAATGAATGATTATAAGAGTAGATTGAACCTGCAACCAGAAGGCTAAGAACATTTCCAGGTATCAATTAGCTGGAAAAAATATGATATTGATCGTTAACAAATAAATTGTTAAATTATTTCAGTTAGAAATCAAAATTCTTTGTTTTCAATCTTGAAAATAAACATAAAGAATGTCCCTTGAAGTCTTATCTTGACAAACAAAATAGATGTCAAAGCAGGAGAAATAACAGGGGAAAAGTCAATCTAAGCATGGGACTTCAAGAACTTGATTCAAAATAAAAACATACACAATTCTTTAGAATCTCAAACCTTCCAGTAATTTTGATTTGCTAAATTTTGCACATTTTTTTACAAATAGGGAAAAAAGAAATGGAATTTATGCACAATTTTAGATTTATTTCAGGCAAGTATAAATACCATAGTGGAAACCGGTAAGTTGGAGAGTATCAAATCCAACTTTATTGGAAGTTTTCCGCTCCCTGAAGGTTCGACTAGTTGAAAGTTAGTTAAAATACCAGGCACAATAATCACTGAATTCTCCTTATTGGGTGGGGGAATCACTAAATGCTAAGTTAGCAAAATTAATATTTCTCTTGTATTTTAATGATCATGCTAACATCTTCCAGACAATGTAACATTCATAATCAAAGCCATACCCATATCCAGGCAAATCAACCAGGTACCAACTATCATTAATCCGGAAATGATTGATGCATTGTGTCTTCCCTGCAAGTAAAAAGCCGACAAATATTTATCTTCAGTTCTTTTTCATGAAATTAAAGAGCAAACTGAAAATGAAATTACCTAATTATACAAACTTATAAAGCATTTCGTGTACTCTTTCATGAACATCACTAAGAGAGAAGAAAATTAATTCTTCATAATTTGAAGTGAGTCCATAGAAAGGCAACAATGTAGTCATCCAAACAACAAAAAGTGCTATGGTTACAAAATCTCATCATTACTACTCTGAAGCTTTCATGTTTCCAACAGTCTCATTTAAAATTTCAGCAAATGGAGAAATGGCTTTAAGCATATCACCACTATTTAAGTACTTCTAGAAAAGTCAGGATATATTGATCCAATGAGCCCAATTTAAGCTTCACGGTTTTACTGAACAAGCTGGTTCTTGTAGCTACAACCAACCATAATTGGTTAGGAAGAAATGATTGTTTGTTATGATGTCCATTCCATCCAACAGTTCATAATGGATTCAATTTTATTGAGCGTTTCATCCTTCACTAGCATCATTGACACTCTTTCACACAAATGTTCGGTAGCCGAATGGAATCTCTCTCCTCACATTATAAATTAATGAGCTAGAAGAGGTTCTGTAAGGGAAATCTGGACAATAAATAAAATGTTAGTGTTTTATATTGAATGAATATAATCCATCCTACTCAAACTCAATAAATACAATATTCAATGAAGGGAGATAGGAAGGCAAAAACAATTATTCCTAAGGCAAGAAAAAATTTCCTCCTTAAGTTGGGATGGACAAGAAAGAAATAAGGACAGAAAAAAAAAAAAAAAAAAGGTGTCACTTGATTTTAACATTACTTTGCATGGCGTCTACTTGACATATGTGGAGAGTGGGTTCTAGAGTCTTCCACACTTGGGTAGAGAGTTGTGGAGCATTGGACGATTCGAGAAAGTTATAGTAATATGTTGAATAGAAAATATTTTAGAGAAGTAGAGAGTGATGTAGAGTTGTAAATATCTAAATATTTTAGAAAATTGTTCTAGAGAGCAAATCTTAACCATTGATTGTAGTCCATCCTAACCATCCATTAGGGAGGACCGACGAGGATGCCTATATAAAATAGTAAGGGCCTCATTTGTAACCCATAAGTGCCGGTAGAGCTAAAAGTAAGAATATGAGTGTTGGTGTTGTACAACATTTCCTCTGAACATTAATGACCCTAACCTCTACCATTACAAAAACATCAACTTCTCTTAAAGCCAATGGTACTAAGCTCTTTCCTGGTAAGTAACATCAACTTGTCTTCAAATGTTACAATCTACTCTAACTCAACCCAATACATCCACCTTATTAACATACAAACCTTTAGCTATCACTATTTACATTGAGACGTACTCAAACGTGCAAAACAACAAATTGCTATTGACTATTTAACACAACACGTACTAAAACTATGTCATAAACTTACTAAAATTTTAAATCTTAAAGTATTTGAAATTAGTATTTATCTTGTGCTCCAAAACCATAAAAAAAAAAATAAATAAATGAATAAAATATATATTTTATATAAGTTCTGTTGTATATGTTATTTGCCAATGATATTGTATTAGTTGACGAGACTAGAGAAGAAAATGCCAAATTAGAGGTCTGAAGAGAAGCTTTAGAACAAAAAGGGTTTAGGATAAGTCAAAATAAATTGAATATATAGAATGTAGCTTTAGTAAATCTAGAAAGATAAATGAGGATGTAGTGAGGATTAAGAATCAATAGGTACAGAAAAGTGAACATTTTCGTTATCTAGGCTCAATTATTCAAAATGAGGGAGAAATTGGAGACGATGTTAATCATAGAATCAAGGCATGATGGGTTAAATGGAGGAGTGTATCTAGTATATTGTGTGATAAGTGTATCCCCTTATGATTGAAAGGGAAATTATGTTGAACAACTATTAGACCAACCATATTTTATGGTACCGAATGTTGGGCAGCTAGGAAACAACATTTGCATAAAGTGAGTGACAGAAATGTGAATGTTGGGATGGATGTGCAGTAAGACTACAAAGGATAGAATTAGAAATGATCAAATTCGGAAGATGGTTGGAGTATCACCAATTCAAGATAAAATGGGAGAAAATCGGTTCAGATGGTTTTGACATGCGCAAAGATGACATTTAAATGCCCCGGTTAGGAAAAGTGACATATTCCACATTGAGGGAAATACCAAGGGAAGAGGAAGAGAAAGAGGAAGACCGAAGTTAATGTGGATGGAGTTAGTAAATAAAGATATGATAGCATGTGGATTGACTGTAACTATGGCCTGAACTATAGCAGAATTGAAACATAGAATTCATGTAGCCGATCAAAAAGTAATTGGAAGAAGGCTTTGTTGTTGTTATATTTTTTTTTTATGAGTTAGAATTCATAGAAGATCGTTTAAAAGGGGAGTGCATCCCATATACAAAAGAAAAGCCAAAAGTTATACACCAACCCATCCACAAAAGACAATAAAAGCTATAATGATTTACAATTTCTTCCTAAACTAAGAAAAAGCATTTCATTCCCCATATCGGGCACTCAACCCCATCAAAAGACCTCCTATTTCTTTCTCACCACAAGGCCCACCTTAAGCACAAGGGGGCGACTCGCCACGCATCTCTAGCTTGGGATTCAACTAAGCATCCGCTCCAAGTCTCTAGCATACTTTTTGCGAAACCTGGTATGAAGTTGCATCCAAGATGGTGCATAACATGGCCCAACCTTTCTAGCCACGGGACAATATAGAAGAAGGTGATCCACTAATCCTTCGTCTCTCTTGCACACATAGCACCGATTGATGATGATCAGAGGTAATCATCAAAATCCTATCAAGACTGTTGTCCAATCGAAAAAAATCCACTGTTAAAGGGGCTTTGGTGCCCCAAATAGCCTTCCATGGAAATAAAGGTCCTTGAACAATGAAAGTCTGTTGTAGAAAGATATCAACTCAAACTTCCCATGACATGATCCCGACAACGACCACTAATCCATAACATCCCCACAAACATTGTCTATATAAGAATACCAAAAACTCCATAGCATCCCCCAACTCTCAATCCTGTGGCGACCTCTCAAACTGCACATCGCAAGTGACACTCCCACAATCAAGATGATAGCAATCGTCCACCATCGCCTGTCAATCCACCCGTCTTGAAAATCCTAGGGAAAGCCCTCTCCAAAGGTCTATCCCCACACCACGGTTCCACCCAGAATCTGACCTGTCTCCCACCCCTACCCTAAATTAGATGTGCTTCGAAATTTCATCCTAAGCCTTCCTAATAAATTTCGAAAGACCTACTCCTGCCGAAGATTTTACCTCGAACAAGCACTAACCACCTCTAGACTCCCCGAACTTGTATCGAATAACCCTCCTCCACAAACTATCCCTTTCTACCCCAAATCTCCACAACCACTTTTACAACAAAGCTCTATTGAACAGAGTCAATCTACAGATGCTCAAGCCCCCTACTTGGATAGGTCTGCAAATCTGATCCCATCTCACGAGGTGATACTTAAACTCCTCCCCCATACCACCCCAAAGGAAATTCTGTTGCAACTGTTCGATCCTCTTCACAACTGTAGCAGAGAGAGAAATTAAGGAAAGAAAGTAATTTGAAAGACTCGATATGGTACTCTTCAAAAGGATTAGCAGGCCTCCTTTCTAAAGATACTGTTTCTTTCAACCCATAAACCTCCTCTCAAATTGATCCACCACCTGAGTCCATGACGACCATCTCCTTGATGACATGTCCAATGGGAGATCCAAGTATACCACCGGAAAACCCCAACACCAAAACCTAAGATGTCAGCAAAAGAGTCGATCCCTCCCACTTCCCCTATCGTCGCAATCTCACTCTTTCCTATGTTGATCTTCAGCCCCGAAATAGCCTTGAAACACACCAAAACAATATCTCAATTGGGGTGCTTCGCATAACAAAAAACACACCAAAACACTATCCATAGCCCGCAAGACTAGAGGTTTAGCTATTAGCTTATACATACTGCCTACCAAGCTAACAAGTCTAAAGTACTTCACCATCAATTTCTAATTCTAGCAAAAGAAAAAATAATAATAACAACAAGCTAAAAGAAAAAATAATAATAACAACAAGCTACTAAAAGTTTTCTAACATCTTCCAGAACCAAATCTGTGAATGCATAGCCAAGCCTACTTCCCATACATCTTTGTTATATGGTTCACCACATATTAAGCAAATCAACTCAAAACATAAAGAACTAAGAAAACAAAACAAAACAATGAGGCATCCACATAATAAATTAAGCCAATTAATTGACATAACATGTAATTAGTAACTAAAGAAACGAATCAGAACACATTGATACTGGACTTCTTTGACATGAAAGCAATCCGCCTCACAAGAATTCCATGCCATAAACTTCCTAAAAAATTTAATCTTAAAGCAAAAAATAATAATAACAAACTGATTAATGTTTTCTAACATCTGCCAGAAGCAAATTTAAAAATGCATAGCTAGCTTTCTGTGCATTTTTGTTACAAGATTATTCACCACATATTAAGCAAATCAACTCACAACATATAGAATCAACAAAAGAAGACAAAACAATGAGCCATCACATACTGAATTAAGACAATTAATTGATATAACGTGAGGTTGTAACTACAGAAAAGAATAAGACAACGTTGATACCGGGCTTCTTCGACGTGAGAGCTAGCTTTTTCCGCCTCACAAGCGAATTGAGCAGCGACGACTTGCCGACATTGGACCGCCCGACGAGTGCAAACTCCGGCCACCCATCAGAGGGACAATCCTCAGTCCGCACACTGCTCTTCACGAACTCTGCTTGCATCACTTGAGCATCTCTGGCATACCTACTGAGCACTATATTCGAACCCTTCAAGATTCTTGTACTCAGTGATGTATTTTCAGATGAAATATCAGTTTCAGGAGGGACGAAGAGCTTTTCTAGCGAAATTTCAGTGGGGGTCTCTTCTGGGTTTGGGAGATTTTGGGGGGTTTGGAGTTCGGTCTGTGAGGAAAGGGAAAGAAGGGTTGGTGTTGAAGAGAAATGAGAAATTGGACTGATTTTGGGTGTGGAGGAGAGTGTGGCGGAGATGGGTAGTTTAGATTTGGTGGAAAAGAAGAGATAGGTGTAGAGAACAGGTGGTGGGGTGAAGAAATGGAATTGAGAGGGAAATTTCGGGAGTTGAGTGAGAAACATCTCTGCTGCTGTCTCTCTTTCTCTCTCTAAATATGTATCTGTTAGAATTTAAAACGCCATGGAGTTATGTTCTGAAGCCCTGTCCGTGTCCACTCTCTCTAGCTCCTATCTGGCGGTGGGACTCCGTTTATTCATGAAATGAGGGCAGCGGGGCGAAATGGATTGGATGCCTATACCATGTTTGGATACGAAAGAGGAGAGATGGGAAAAAGGAACGGAGAGGGAAAGGAAGAGGGAGTGGGGTCAATATATTCAAGATATTTGATAAAACTGAAAATGAAGAACTGAAAAAAATAATAAAAAAAAAGGGTTTTTAAGTGATAATTAAAAATTAAATATTTTTAATTTATTTTTAATTTTGAGCATATTCATTGAAATTCCAGTTCCAATTTTAAGTGCTAAAAACTTTAAATGTTGAAACTTTTAAGTGGTAATTACAAAATAAATATGTTTTTATAATTTTTTTAAATTTTAAGTGTCTAATATTTACTGATAAGTGATATTCTTGTAGTTAAAATTTATCTCTTTTAGTGGTTTTTATCATTTTCAATGATATTCTCAAACACAATTAATTAGATAAACAATTAATTTATTTAAATTTTGACACAAAATTAAATTATCCAGAAATATGTAACTCATATATGTGATTTGTAAGCAATTGTGTGTATTCAAAGTTCACAAATTGTTTAAAAGTCCAAATGAATTATGTCATGCTACACCTAAATTTTAGGTCGTGAAAGGTTATGCCATGTAAATGCACAAACACAATGATGACATGAGTAGTTTGCATAGTCGGGAAATTCTATACTTTTATTCACTTGTGTAATTTGTATCGTGTAGCTTACAAATCTCTAGAGTAATATAGCATCATATAGAAATGTCATACATATTGTTAGAGAATTCTATAATCTAATTTTTTTTGGATGGAGGATACTGGTAAATATCTTGGCAATCCATTGTAAGAGTACAACTTATAAATAGTGGTGGGAGTTCATTTGCTACTTGCTAAGCAATCAAGTTGTAAGGACTGTTCGAAATCAAATTCTCTTAAACCGTGAATTAATGAGAAGACATGTGGTATAAATATAGTGCGGAAATACTCAACCTAATAATCGGTTTAAATTAGGGCTACAAGTTGGGCAGGCCCAACCCAGCCCAGTCCCAACCCAACCTCAACTCGAATCGAGTTGGGTTGGGTTAACCCGAATTGTACCTAACATGAGTTATAATCAAAACCCAGCCCGAATATTTCCGGGCTGGTCGGGTCGGGTTGACGGGTTGAGTTTTAAAAGTTCAAAACCCATATATTTCAGATCATTTCAGATTGTTCAAAAAATCAAAACCCATATGTTTCAGTTTCCATCGCCGGCTGTTCCAGTTCGGGTTCGCCGTTCGCAAGCTTCAGCCGCTTTCTCTCAACTCTCAAGCTTGCCCCCCCCCCCCCCCCTCTCAACTCTCAAGCTTGCTCCCCTCTCTCTCTGCAACTGCTAACTTGTATATATGGGTTTTGTTTTTATTTTTGGAAGTGACGGCAACGGCGGTGGAACGGCTGAGGGGCGGCGGCGGTGGATCGGCTGAGGGACGGCCAGAGAAAAGAGAAAGAAGAAAGAGAAAGAAGAGAGAGAGAGAGAGAAAGAAGAGAAAAGAGAGAAAAAAAAAAAAAAATTCGGGCAAAGAGAGAGAGAGAGAAAGAATAGAGAGAAAGAAAAAGAGAAAGAAGAGAGAGCAGAGAGAAAAAAATAATAATAATAATAATAATAATAATAATTTTGGGTTTTGGGTTGGGTTCGGGTTGAGCCCGAGCCCAACCCGAATTATCTGGGTTTTAATTAAACCCAACCCGAATATGAACCCGATTTGTGAATTGTGTGTCCAAATTTCAAAATTCTTGGGTTAGGGTTGGGTTGGGCTGGGCTAGCCCGTCCAACTTGCAGCCCTAGTTTAAATAGATTTATTTATGTGATTTAGAAAAAAAAAACACATAATTGAAAGTATACTCAACATACGTCTTTATATCACCTTGTGTATTGATTAATTTGGTATCATCTCAACCTCTCCATTTCTTTTTTCTAATTGTGAGAAAGATAGTTATGCAATGGAACTTAATAAAATTAATCAATTTGATAGTAAAATGATTTGTGCAACACGTTAGATGTTAATTAGATAGGTAGACAAATCATGCTTAAGATTATATTTGTTGGTAACAATGGTAAATCTTAATGATTTCAATTGTGTGCTTGTAGCCACCGTTCATTCATTTACACTTGTTTTTCCCATAATTGTTAACAAGAATATGATTCCAAAGTTTAAGGTGGATTCCATGCATATATCTTGTCTATTATCATCTTTATTTACTTGCATTGTCATTAGTTTTTACTTTAGTTGATAATTAGGAAGCAAAACAATTTATCTATACTGCATCAATTGTTCATTAGCTTTGAATCAAATAAAACCATGGTTCTTGTGACGATCGCTACTTCACTATATTGCGTGGTAGTAGTTTAGAAATTTAAAATTGATGATTTCCAAATGCAAAACCACGTCACAATGTTAAATTAAGAATGAGTTCGGCAGAAAGCCCAACGACCTATAAAGTCAACCTTTGTGCAAAAGGGTGGAACCATGTGAGGCATAAGTTCGAACCAAATGATCTGCCTAGAGGATAATAAAACATTGTAATCGAAAAATGGACCATATAACACAACTTTCTCATGTTTTTTGTATTCAAGTCATTTTAAACCCCCTTCTTTTTTCTTTTTTTTTTCAAGTCAACACATAGTTAGAAGGGTAACAATGTCATTTTACATATAAAAAGGTACTTGACACACTTGAAAACTAACTTTTGAGAATGGGTATAAAACGAATCAAACACTTGTAATACGAGTGATATTTGTTTTTGAAAGATGATTCAATATGATATTTGGCCAAACTCAGCGAAATGAACCTAAAAAAAAAAAAAAAACACCCATGCTAATATCTTTACTAAACTAGTTTTACAATTCATTTATAAACTTAATCCTCGCCAATAAAGATATACATTTAGATGAATACTAAATAAATGAAAAACATGTCATATATCCTTTACTACACTAGACCATTATAATATGAATAACATTATGCAGTAATTTACTAATTTGAGCAGATTTTTATTATTATTTAAAAATAAAATAAAATAAAAATAAAAATAAAAAACTAATTTAAGGAGAGCCTATAATAATTAAGTGAGGCCGACCTCACAGTAGTCTTACTCAGAAACCATGTAGAGCCCTTAAAATTCTCACAACCATTTTCGCCACCACTATCTATCTCACTACTACATTTGTCTCTTGGCGATAAGGAAATGATAATCCATTGATAAGTAATCACTAACAATATATAAATTTTAGTATTTTTGATAATCAACTAATAATCTCTAAGTATCTACTAGTATTATAAATAATCAAACAATCAATTTCAGTTACTTCATTCACCTGAGCCTCCATCAACAATGTCTTCGTTGATGACTCTATTCGAATTCATTAGATTGTCCTCATTGTGTCCGCCGCCGGCACCGACTATTACGCCACCGGAGCCTCCTGCTCGGGTGACTTCATCAAACTCTCCACCGCCTCCGAAAATGGAGATCAACTTTCCTCCACCTCCGCCGATTTCTGAAACTTCAGCGGGGGCGAACAATCTTCCTCCGGCGTCTGCTCCCACCTATAAAACTATCGATTCACAACATTCTTCCACGAATAGAATTGCGGGTGGTTTTGGTGTAATTGTTCTATTCGTTGGGATTGTGTATTTGTTTATTTGTTACAGAAAAAGGAAAATGAGTGGACATGTAGATTACTGTTACAAATCATCATCAATAAAAGGTGAGATTAATTTTCTTTCATCATTTATATATTAATTTTATTTAGGTTATGCTTTGTTAGAATTTTTTGTAAGAAAAATTACTAGTATAATTTAGTGACCAGACCTAAAATAGTTGTTTGGATCATGGTCACTGAAAAGCAACTAAAGTGATTAATGATATCACCTTAATCGTTGCAGTATGCTATATATTGTAGTTGATTTTAAGTTTGATAGCTACATTATTATTTTCTGTTAGAATAAATTATAATTTAGTGATCAAACATAATAGCCATGCTCGCTTAAATGCTATCACCTGAATTGTCGCATTATATTATATATTGCAATTGATTTTAAGTTTGATAGCCTTTCTTTTGTTTTATTAGGTTTTCTTGTTGCAACTTAAGAAAATATTAGTGCTAAGTTGCTGTGGATTGGTGGGAAATATATGTATTATGTGTAATACTGTAGAAAATTGAGATTAACTTGTAAAAGATAATTTTAATTTTCAAAACTGTGTTCAATGTGCCAAGAAGAGACCAGTATTCAAGTAATAAAAGTATTGAAGTCTAACATGGTATAGCTTTGATTGTGAGTGGTCTTAAGTTTCCCATTTGAATATGTCTATATATGAAGTCTGGGTGTTCCATCAGCAGCAACAATTTTAGTCTGTGGTATTGATAGACATTGGCAGGATTTGGGAGCCTCGTGCACTTGGCTAGCCCTTTATTGATAAGCAATAAATTGCTTATATAAATTGGTCAGGATGCTCAAACCTGTGTGATTTTGGCTCAAGCAGACTCGAGCACTCTTTTAAGAATCATGTCTAGTTGATGCTCTATACATTTTCTTTTTGATTGTAAGAAACTGGCACTCATCATTAGCATGGACTTGAATGTGCTGATACATTTTCTTGCTTCAGGCAATTGTTGTGCTGTACTTCCTAAGTATTTGAAAAAGAGAATTCTTTCACCATGGCCTCATGTTGCTGCAATGCTAGCAAAGCTCTTTCCTCCACCTCCTATCATGAGCACAATTGGAGATGCTTCTTCACAAAATTCAGGGTCTGACAGTCAATTTTCACCTCAAGCCCACGGGGCCATTACTTTTGGTTTCTCAAGTAGTAGTTTCACATATGAAGAATTAGTGGCAGCGACTGATCGTTTCTCACAAGCCAACCTTCTTGGAGAAGGTGGATTTGGGTATGTCCACAAAGGAATCCTTCCGAATGGGAAAGAAATTGCAGTTAAGCAGTTGAAAATGGGAAGCCGGCAGGGGGAGCGTGAATTTCGAGCAGAGGTTGAGACAATTACCCGACTGCATCACAAACATCTTGTTTCATTGCTCGGATACTGCATCTATGGGGCTGAGAGGTTGCTTGTTTATGAGTTTGTTCCAAACGACACCTTACAGTTCCATTTACATGGTAAGTTTTCTGTTATACTTTTCTTCCTACAAGAGAATAGCTTAAGTTTAATGCTTTGATGTGTGGGTGTCTTGAAGGTGGGCCCTGGCATAAGGTTGTTTCGTTGTGAGCTGGAGGTCAATGGTTCAAAACGAAAACGTCTCTACATGCAGAGATAAGGATGCATACATATGATCCTCCCTAGACACCGCAGTGGCGGGAGCCTCGTGCACCGAGCTAGCCCTTTATGTGTGGGTGTCTTAGTTATGGTACAAAAGGCTTACAAATATAAAATCAGAAGTATATAAGTTCAGCATGCTAAAAAGTAAGATAATCTAATATGTCCATACCTCCTTAGATTGCCATAAATTTTTTACTTTGTTTAATTATTTTTTGGAAAAAAAATAAAAAAATAAGTGTTTCCTGGAGCTCTTGTTCTTCCTTCACCATTATCTTTGAATTCTATTTGGTTGGGAAAACACGGACACCTATTTAAGTATAAATATTTTGGACAGAAGATTAAGCAACTTTATGTTAAAAGGTCAAACCAATCAATTTTCATTATCTGAAAAATCCTGTTATGTTGGGTTGTTTGTTTCTCTTTTTAGATTGCTGAAAACAAATTTCAAATGATCCAGAGTCTTTGAAGTTAAGGTCTATTAATTGGTGGATCCTTTAATACAGCACAATTTATACATATCCCATTTTGGTGCTTTTTCCCAACCAACATATTAATAAATGGAAGAAAACATCTTGTAAGCTTTCTTTGCCTGATTGTGTCAATGTTTGGCTCTTTATGGTATCTGTTACTCTTGTCATCAGTTCTTAGCTTTTAAAAGAACAAACTGAACTCATCATAAATGAATAAGTAATCAATTGATTTACATTCTTGGTTCATTTTTGAGAAGTTGTAGTTTACACAATGCTGTTTCTAATCTTCAAATAGAGATGCCAATCATGTTATTTGATCACAAAAAAATTGCATTGCAGGAAAAGGCCAACCTATTATGGAGTGGGCAAAAAGACTGAAAATTGCGATAGGGTCAGCAAAAGGACTGGCATATCTCCATGAGGATTGTATGTTCCTCTCTCTCTCTGTCTCTCTAAAGACACTTTGGAGGTTGAGGCAAGTCCAAATATACCCTGTGCAAATCACTAGGTAGTAAAAACATAAGCACCTACTGATTTTTATGCTTCTGGGAATGCTTCTGATGTCCCTGCTGACATACAGAAGGAGAGCTGGAATTTCTCTGTTGCCACCTCCTTCCAAATGGTCACTTTGTTGTAAATAATACGTTCATCTTTTTTGTCATGGAAATAATATATATTCCTGCAGGTGATCCTACAATCATTCATCGTGATATCAAGGCATCTAATATTCTTATTGATTCCAACTTCCAGGCAAAGGTAAAATTCATAATATTGATTTTGCTATTAATGTGATTCAAACTTATCTTGACCCAGTTAAGGAAGATTATTCCTTGATACTTTGCTATGGCCCACAAAATTTGGTTTATGAGATTCATACACTGATTAGTTGTAATGATTGCATAAACTTTGGTTGTCTTGTTGTAAATGAGGAAATGTTTAGCTTATATGTATTGTTAGATCTGTTTGCATAAATAGGAGCTCTTGGTTTGCTTGTGTGCCTTAACTCAGCTTGATCACTAACTCAACCTATTCAGACAAACCGCCGTTCTTTTGTCTCTGTATTGATCATCTTCTTGCCCATTGTCCCTCTAAAAGTCTTAAAGCTAACAAACTGTGGGACTTTAGGCTCCTGACTTATTGCCGTTGTATTCTTTCTCTTACATGCTTTTGGTGAACTGTTGATTATTGCCTACGGCATCCTCTCAGAGTGAGTGCTACTGAATGCGGTCTATCCTAAAGCGGCCAGACCGCTTTTGATATAGTACCCTAGTACAAAGAACTTTATATAAGAGTCGAAGCTCCAAAAGAGGAATTGGGAATTTTTCTCATGGAACTTTAATTCTATTTCTCAGCTTCTAGATGACCAGTTTCAGAATTAATTCGATTCTTTCTCAATTCAGGTTTCTCAACTTCCTGTTTTGAGACCCTTTGTGTTTTATATGTTCCTTTATTTTTAACTAATGAAGTTGATTTTTTTTCCTTCAGGTTTCTGATTTTGGACTTGCCAAGTTCTTTTCTGGTACCAATCATCAAATTACTCACATCTCCACAAGAGTGGTGGGAACTTTTGGGTAGGACTACTTTTTGTTAGTAGCTTAATATTGCCATGTATTATAAATTTCTGATATGCATTGGTATTTAAGTTTATCTGTCCATTTGGTTTTCTAAACAACTCAGTGCAAGTGTCCAGTTGCATTCGACTTCTCATTGAAAATTATTCAAGCACAAGAATGCATAGGTGGTCACTTTAAAGTACAAATTGTTTTCTGAATATCTTAGTTTATCAGAGCTAAAAGCCACTTCCCGATTTAGTGCCCATGTTGATCCGCTTATAACTGCCTTAGCCTTGGACCGGGAAGCAGACAGTCGATACCTCACACATAATTAAATTAAGGGAAGCCCTCTTCTCCGCTCTATGGCGTGTTCGTATGGATATTGCTTCTAAGCACCACCTTGACTTATTGGCCAAATCCTGATAGACCACCATGTCATTCACTAATTATTTAAAAAAGTATGCCTCTTTGCTAACATTTTTTCTTCTTGTTTACAGTTACCTGGATCCAGAGTATGCAACAAGCGGAAAAGCCTCAGATAAATCCGATGTTTTCTCCTATGGTGTCATGCTTCTGGAGCTTATTACTGGGCATCGACCTATCAACACAACAGAATCCTCAACAGCCGAGAGCTTGGTCAACTGGGTAAGTTGTCTTGCATGACTAGCATTGTGTTTCTTTTCCAAGTTCTAGATGTTGTCATTAATGTAGTTAGACAAAATCTTGAATTAGGAACCAAATCTATGGAAGCATCTTAATCTGTCTTGCAAATTTGTCTTGGGCATAACAATAATGTCATTCCCTCCCCCTTTTTTGAAATAAAGACATTAAATAATATTGGATTATCTAGTTTGACAACTATATGTTTTTTGTGCTATGTTTGCTTTTGAAAAAACTGGATTATCATCATCGTCCTCCTTGCTTTGCTCCCATATGAATGGGGTCGGCCACTTGAATTCTCTGTCTCTAATCTTTTCTATTACATCCCATTTCACCTATTATATTTAACTTTTTTAAGTCATTTTTTAATAATTTCAAAATAGTTTAAAATTTACTTGATTTCCTAAGGAGGGCCCATCTTGTAGCGGTTTGTACACTAGATGTGCGTCTCTGATTGTGTGCTTGAGAAACCATGATTTGTTTTGACACTCAACATGCAAACTAAACCATGCTCGAGACTAAATTGGTGGCATGTGAAACAATGTGATCCTTTTTCTTGGCAACCTTTTTCTTCCCCCAAACATGGAGCATCTTTGGCTGCAAAACTTGAGTGCAAGAGAAAATTTAAAATAATTAACTGCTGACTTATAGGCTAAGCCTTTGCTTGCACAAGCTTTGGAAGATGGAAATTTTGATACTCTTGTTGATCCACGGCTGCAAAGAAATTATGATAATAAGGAGATGGCCAGCATGATCACCTGTGCTGCCGCTGCTGTGCGCCAAACAGCATGGCGTCGACCAAGAATGAGCCAGGTAACTCAGAAGTATTTGATTGAAGGACCATTTGTTTTGCATTGAATACAATTACAATCAAGGAGTGGTATAAGAAACATAAATAAGGGTTGTCTTATTTTGAAAGTAATGGATGAAATTATAAAAAGAGAAAAAAATGTTGCAGTACATACATCATACATAAGTAACATAAGTGCAAAAAGAAGAATTTTAAGAAGCGGAAAAAAAAAAAAAAAATGAGAGAACTTTGAAGGGAAAAAAATTAGGGTTTGATTGAAGAAGGGGAATGTAATTTTTTTTAAATGAAATCAAGGAATTTGAAGAGGAAAAGAGAAGGGAAAAAATGAAGAGAATAAATGTTAGGGGGGCATTATGTAAAATTTCTCATACATTGGCTCCGCCCCTGCCTAAAATCCCACAGTAAAACAGGCCACACAAAGAATCTCTCTTTGAATATGTTAGTCAGGAATTAGGATCAATATCCTGTATTTTTCAGATATACATGGGTCTCGGGGACATAATCATATTTTGATAGTTACATTCTGTTTTGTTGTTTTGGTCCAGGCTTTCAAATATGTTAAATTAGCTTTCACTAGTTTTACGAGTGCCAAGTTTGCAGACCATGTTAAAACAATTATTTTTGACTCATTTGTGTCTTTCTTCTAACAAAAAAAGGTTGGAAATGTGTTGCAAACTATGCAGATAGTCCGTGCTCTGGAATGTGACTTTTCTCCAACTGATCTAGAATTCGGACTTAGACCTGGACACAGCACATCTTTCAATTCTTTCGAAAACCCAAATTACGACGACCAACAATTTGGGGATTTCAAGAAGAAAATCAATATGATATTGATGGAAAGCACCAGCAATTACAGTCTTGAAATGTTGGGCTCAAGCAGTGAGGCCATAGAATCAGTTGACAGACAAGGGATATATGCTGAAGCAGTGAGGACTGAAAAACTGTTGAAAAAATAGGGGAAACATAGGGGCATAAAACCAATTGAAACAGTTGAAAGACAAGAAAAAAACATTGGATTTCTTAGAATAACTCTATACTTCCTTTCGAGGGGGATTTTCTATTAATTTTTGAAAACATTTATACATTTATTGGTTCTTTACAAATAAATTAATTAATGAAAAGGGTTTTACCTCTTTGGTTCTGTTTTCTCTGAATTTGATCATTTTGACGTGGGTGATCCTGGACTGCAATTGTTGCTGGATTGTTTGCATTAAGCGATTTAAACACCGAGCTCAAATGCCTGAATTTTCAAGCTTGTCTTCTGCAAGAGTAAGGTCAGAAATTGAGAATATCTGATAGCATATGTAACACATTTGGGGTTTGTATGCCATTTTTGTACATGGAAGGTAAGAGTACGGCCATTCGGACCACCGGGATCGTCTTCACTGTCACTAATTCTGGTGTGCATCCAGGGACAACATTGTGTCACGGCAGTAATAAAGAGTGAAGATTGACTGTGCGCCAGCAGAAAAAAGTATGAATTAATGTCAAACACGGCTACTTCTTAAAGAGTTGAACTGCATGGGTTTGTGTTATGGTGTTCTGGTATTGCTGAATATCAATTTTAAGGTTTTACATATTGTAGTGGCAAACATGCACAGGCATCCTAATGTTAACGTGATTTATGAGGTCCAGGATTTGGCTATAGTGTTAGGAACTTAGGCCTCCACTGGCAAACATAATTTTTTAATTTTTTTTATTTTTTTTCGTAAATTTTCAAACATAAATTTTATTTTAGGAAAGTCGACAGAAATAGTAACAGTGATAAGCATAAAGTGAATGATACTTATAAAAAACAAATACATATTATATTATACATGTTTAAAAACTTAGTATTAAATATAGTTAAAAAATTATAAATACATTAGATATATTACATTCCACTACTTTATATATATATATATATATATTTCTACTTTTAAATATATTATATATTTAAAAGTTACATTCAAATTTATAATTCTTTTATTCAGGAAAAAAAAATTAAAATTCTTCTATGCATGACAATATTCTAATATGAAACTAATCTTACTCTACTTAATTTATCCAACCCAAACTTAACTAAAGTTACAAAATGTGAACGTGGGCTTGGGCTCAAGGGTTACGTTAAGTCTGCGCTTTGCATTGGGGTGCACATAGTTTAGTCTGCGCTTTGCATTAAGGTGCACATGGTTCGATACAAAATTAAAGTGATCTTAGTAGTTCTTAGAAAATTAAAACTGGAATTAAACTAAATCAAGTTGTAAAAGATCGATTTGATTCGGCTTTGTACCACAATTCTTGAGCATCAAGAACCTTCTAAAAAATTTGTATAATAACACACTATTAAAGGTCTCATTAACTTTAAAAATGAGAGTAGAAATATCATAATATATTCTACTTGGATGTGTAGAAGATGTGTAATCATGTTTTTTTGTTTTATATATTAATATTAATATTATATTCTGTAATATATATATATAGTAATTGGTCTGGTCCTGTCCTGTCCGATCTTAATGAACTCCAAATTGTAAATTAATTGTTGTTTATTTTTTAAATCGGAATCAAACTGACAATTCAGTTCGTGCTTGTTCCAACGGTTTGATTTTGTTTTTACCAATTCATTAGGTCTAACGATTTCTTGTGGACCTCTACTTTGCAAACTCTCAGTGTTCATATATTTCAAAACGTGTGTGTATATATATATACATATATATATATATATATATATATATATGATGTTTACATAACTACTACACCATGTGAGATGGTACGAGATGTTACAATTACTCCTCTTGAAACCCAATATCTTCACGGTGTTTACTGGTTAGCTCATTCCTCTTATTTTTGACATATTTGTTATGACTCGTGTGCCTCCTTGCATTCAAAACACAGTCGGTTGTAGCGAATTGCAAAGGCAAAGCCAATTTAAAACAATTACTTTTTTTTATGTATATTTTTTTAAAAAATTAAAATTGCCCCCCTCAAATTTTTTTAAAAATTGCATTTTGTATGTATAATAATTCTCTAAAATTTTAAAATTGACCTTCCTCAAATTTTTTTTTTTTGTATTTCATTGTGCCCCTGGACATCCTGGCGGGTCGGTTCTGACATTAGGTTTGCTAAATTTAACCTTTTGTTTTTTGGTTTGAGAATTATTACATTTAACTACTTATTATTCCAAAAAAATAAAAAGTTTAAGATAAATAAATAAATAGAAAATTTGAATTTTAGTGAAAAATGAGTGTTGCAGAAAAAAAAAAAAAAAAAAAGTGGTTCACTAGCTCTCCTTCTCAACCTCACTGATTTTTTCCCTTATCCTCACGCGTATATGTACGCACATATATGTAAAATACAGAGACACATAGTGATGGCACTTGTGGATAAGATTTTCGAATGGATGTCGTGAAACTCCATTTTTTGCGATCCTTACAAATACTACATGCAAAAAGAAAGAAAACCCCAATCTCTCTCTCTCTATCTGCAAGCATTAGCTGAGCTCCAAAGGTGCGAACAAGTAACTTCATCTTCATCAAGAACTTAATAGTATGCTCTTAATTCTTATATTCCATTACTGTTACAACGACCCTCTAGAACTGTTTTCTTGGCCCTTAAAATTTACGATTAAGCCCAAATGTAAATCCATTCCTTGGGTTATGTTTTGAAGCTTGTAATGTGTGTTTGTGTGTGTATATACTGGCACTGATTTTTGACGCGGGTTTTGGTAGAACTTGAGAATATCTGCTCTGGTTCAGGCTTATATTCCCCTTATTGATGGATTTCTTGGATATCCAAATTATAGGAAAATTTGGGTTTTTTTTGGGTAGAATAAATGTTGATTGTTCCTTTAATATGTCTTGATTTCTTTATGTAATGTGTGTTTAATTTTGTGTGTATTCTGGCACTGAATTTTGACGTGGGTTTTGCTAGAACTTGAGAATATCTGCTCTGGTTCAAGCTTATATTTCTCTTATTGATGGATTTCTTTGGATGTCCCAATTATAGGAAAATTTGGGAAATTTTTTTTTTTTTGGGTAGAATAAATGTTGCTTGTTTATTTAATATGTCAAGATGCAAAATCAAATATCCATATGGGAATTCTTTATTATGTTAGCAGATGGTTTAAATTCCCTTAATTGGAGTTTTGGAGAAGATTTCTGGAACACTATGGCATGTTTGGTTCTTTTTTCAAGTAACTGATAAATTGGGAGTCACTCTGGATTGCCTTGTTGATTCTTTTGTTTTTGTAAAAGGAGTTCATCCTTCTAGGGAAATTTGTAAAATCGGGACCCACGAAAATGTTTTGCACTCTGTAACTTCTACTACTGCTATAATTGAAATTATTGGAAATAGGATTGATACAGTATTTGATTATCTATACCATTCTGACGTTTGAAGCTGTTTGGTTTGGTTTGCAGGTAAATTTTGCCAGTAGCCACATGAACTTCTCATTTTATGTTGTTTCCAATGCTTGTTCTGGTCATAGTAGGATATGTTTATGCATAACTGATGAACATAAAAGCTGAATTGGATTCCTTAGTTGCGTCGCCTCTTGATTTTCTCATAATCTTTGATCTTTTGGCAATTTTTATCTATTTTGCTTTTCCTCAATTTATTCATTGTTTTTTTTGCTGGTGCTTCCATTGATTTTGACAGATTTTATTTTTATTTTGTGAGAACACATTTGTTTCTTTCAGTCTTTCCAGCTTCCCTATGGGTAAACAATATATTTCCCTCTGTACTAAGCACTGACAAGTTCTAGTGAAAATTTGTGGTCTCATTTCAAACTTCAAGCAAGCTTGAAATTGGTTTGAAAACCTTATTTATACATGTAGATTTAGAAAAAAGAAAACCCAATATAGAGCACTCGGGATTCTGTTTAGCTGCTTACTGACTTGGGATTAAAGATACCGTTTGTTCTCAATATATATATTTTTTCTTTTGGAATTTGAATGCAGTGCACCTTGTTTCCTAGTTTTAGCATTTGTGTAACAGCAAGGTTTCTGGAATGGTTTCGGTGGCTGGTGCACCAAGTTCCAAGTCCTTAATCCAGATGAATTTTAATTCTTTTCTCTCATGTATATTTGCTTATTTGTGCCTTTTAGTTTCAAATTTTTAAATGTGTCGAATAGTAGCAAATGCTCATATTGGTTTGTAGCTGCATCAAGACCTCTAGTTGCCTTATTTGTTAAATTGATGATTGCTTTATAATTCTTGGCACCATTTCTGCATTGGTTTTATATATATTTATATATATTATTTTTATAAGTATTCCGCATTGTTAGTATCTAAAGTCTTAGTTTTAACTATTTTTTTTTTGGCCAAGAGGTATCCACATTTAAAATTACGGGATTACATCAGTATTTTAATTGCCCTCACGATACTTCATGGAAAGAGTGTTAAACATTTTTTTTTTCTCTGTTTTGTGTGTGTGTTGTTCTGTATCGTCTTTCAACTTCTGAAGAGACCTCTCTGTTTGCCATTATTATTATTTTCTATTCCTGATTATTATGCAATTTCAAGACCTTTTTAACCGAATGTCACTTTCAATGGCACAGTTGTCTCTTTAATGGGGTTAGACCTACCTACTCAGTCCTCAGGCTTGCTGATTACTAGATATTTTGTGATTGGGACATTCCTTGGATGAATTTGAAAGTGGACTAAATTTGCAGTTCTGATCCTGGGATGCAAAATTGTTGAAGTTAAACACGATCAAGATTTTCAAATTGGCAAATAAGGACTGAAAAAAAAGCCTAGAGATCCACATGGGAGAGTCCAAAACAGAGAGTGCTTATTCTGGGACTGTCAGCAAACATCTTGGAAGACCTACAGTCATCAAGAAAAAACAGTTTCAGGCATTGTCGACTAAGGTATGCAACCATGTATACAGGAACTTATTTATTCGACTGTCAGGGCTGCATAATTTTATAACTACTGTCTGGCATGGTCTAGTTTGAGCATCAATTTTTTTGCCACGGGAACTGATATCGAACATCCTGGTCAGTCCATTAATGTTCTTATTTTAGGATCTGCGACAGAAACCTCATTAATTGTTGTTTTAGTCTGTTGCAACTGAGAATATGAATATTTTTCAATATTTATTTTACTAAGTAATATTAATCAATATTCTTATGTAAAATTTCTTGGAATTGTAGTTCATAGTAATAAGCCATCAATAAGGATGCCGTACCTCGGTACCTCCTGCACGATGTCCACTGTGTACTTATTTTATTTTCCTTTTCATTTGCTAGTAAGGTGGACACGTGTCTCCAGTGTTATACAAACATCAGTCTCCCAAAAAAGGGAGATCATGCGTGATATTAATAAGACCGATTCTATTCTGATTTGCTGCTGCTATCTTTCTGTGCATGGTAGTGCACAAAAGAAATATAAAGATTCAACTGTGTTTTTTTAATATGACAAGTTTGGGTACATGAGGATGGTCTGAACATAGATAGTGGAGGTACTATTAGAAATGAATGTTCTGTAAATTATCTCTAAGGCCCAAATAGGTTTATAAATAAGGAAGCCCGAAGTCATCTCTATGTCGAATACCAATACTCATTGGATACTTGTGGGTACGTGTCCTGACTCAAAAAATCTTAACTTCCTACACAAAATTTTCCAATTCATTCCCAATTAAATTACATTCACTTTCAAACATCTTAATTAAGATATTATTAATTCCAAACTAATTTTTAATTAGATTCAAGTCAACTCCGAATTAATTCAAGTATCCTAATTGATTCTAAACCAATTTCGCAATATCAACTGGGGATAATCTGGACCAACTTAATTATTAATTAGTTTCTCGAAATCCTATTGTCTTAAGGCCACTTATCTTTCATAAACTCTGTGATTAAAGAAGTTTGAAACAACATGTCCATGTGATGTTTCAGCCCTATCTTCATTCTATAATCACATTTTTTATGTTGAATATGAACCTTCCGATGAAGTGACGCTTCCTATGGACTAAATCAAAGTTTTGTTCATGGAATACACCAATATATGACATGACCTACACCATGAGGCATGATAATGTCAATCATGTTGTCAATGAAAATTTTCAATAGCTGGACAATGAACACGAGTTTCATTATGTAGCACAGTGTTTATTATTTCTCAAATCTAATCACAATTCCAGACTAATACAAAATTATAGGAGCCTAGGAAATCAGTTGTTCCGGCATTACAGAATTACTAAATATTGTCAAGAATGAGGCATTTTAATAGGAAAATTATAACGCGTGAAGATCAAAATCAAAACATGCATATCCATTAATCCATTAAGTTTCTAAAAGTCTCTAATCCAAGAAATGTTTCATGGCCTTGGTCCCCAATTTCTGTTAAACTGCTTGACTGCAACCTATACTGTGATGCAGCGTTGTGTTCTATATGCATATGCGTGTGTGTGTGTGTGTAGAATGCATGTCATTAAAGCTAAAAGAAAGTGGTTCAAGACCTTTAGCTGCATCTGGGTTCGGGTGGATAGTAAATTTATTGAACATAGATCATGATATTCTCCATTTACCAGAAGGCAATTGTTTCCCGCACTACTTTAAATTGAATAGAATAATGGGATATGATATTTAGAATTTGGTCCTATGGGGTATTACCGTGTGTTATCATAGTGTTTTCCTTAACAATCATCATCATACATCATGTCACAACCAAAGTTTACTTGCTTGTTGTTTTAGAAAAAGTTTGGATAAATTTCTTGTATTAAAAATACACATATTTTTAAAAAAATAAAAATTATTTGCAGGAAAAAAATCCAGAAGAGAAGATTCAGTTATCTCCAATGCCAGAGTCAACTCTCTGCACTGTCTGCAAGAGCAATAGTAGTTGCCAAACTGTTCGCTCAAAAACAAAACTAATGGACATTCTGATAGAAAGAGGGAAACCACAGGAAGCACAGTCCATTTTTGATGGTCTGATTGAAGGAGGACACAAACCATCCTTGATAACATACACAACCCTTTTAGCTGCTTTGACAATCCAGAAGCGCTTTGACTCAATACATTCGATCCTCGGTCAAGTGGAAGAGAACAGAATGAAGCCCGATTCAATTTTCTTTAATGCTGTTATTAATGCATTTTCTGAATCTGGGAATATGGAGGAAGCCATGAAAACCTTTTGGAATATGAAGGAAAGTGGATCTAAACCCACTACCAGTACTTTCAACACATTAATTAAAGGGTATGGAATTGCTGGCAAACCTGAAGAGTCTCTCAAAGTGCTAGAGCTAATGTCCCGTGAGGAAAATGTGAAACCAAATCTCAGGACATGCAATGTACTCGTCAGAGCATGGTGTAACAAGAAGAACATTACAGAGGCTTGGAATGTGGTGTATAAGATGGTAGCTTCTGGTTTACAACCTGATGCTGTTACTTACAACACGATAGCGACTGCTTATGCTCAAAATGGGGAGTCAGACAAGGCTGAGTGGATGATTTTAGAAATGCTGAATAATAATGTGCAGCCTAATGAACGAACTTGTGGAATTATCATAGGTGGGTATTGCAAAGAAGGTAAAATAAAGGATGCCTTGACGTTTGTCTACAAGATGAAGGATTTCGGCTTGCACCCTAATCTTGTTGTTTTCAACTCTCTGATCAAAGGATTTCTTGACACTATGGATAGAGATGGGGTCGACGAGGTCAGTGTTGATCTTTAATTCTGGTTTGATTGATTCATATTTGTTCCTAGAAACTTCTGTTACTTCTACACGTGTAGTGATCATGTCAGGGTTTTAGATGATGTTATTTGCCACTATATTAGTTAAACACTCCCTATATTTTCTTCTTCTAGTAATTTTGTGCTAAGATATATTATTATCAAATTATATATATATATATATATATATATATATATATATATATATATATATATTGATACTTCATGATTTTCAGTTCTAAAAATTAGACCTACTCACTTTGAATTAAAAGAAAAATAAAATAAATATACATGCTTTCGAAGGGATCATTTTAGTTTTTCTAAGAGTTCTAATAACTTTAGCCACTTGAACATGTAACAGTGGTTCTGATGTTGAAACAGTTAATAATGGCTTTTAGACCTCCAACCAACAAAACCTGAATTACAAGTTACTCAAAATTATAGTTGTACTTTATATTTATGGAACTCCAATAGTAATATACAGAGTATAGCAAAAATATGTATTTTTCCAAACTATTATCAGTCGAAGAAAATAATTTAGAATTGCTGATTCGTCTCCACATCCCCTATAAATTCTCAAGGTGATACCAGAGAATTAGCTGAAGGGAAGATTTACAAGATAATGTAAGGCGAGGAGCAAAATGCCTGTGTGTAATAAAGTGGTCCTGCACTGATTACCTTTAGAGTGACACTCAACACTATTGTCTGTAGATGTCTCAAATATTGCTAATGTGGTTGTAGTTGTGCATAATAATGGCTGTTATTAAAACCATGATCTATATCCTGCATTACACACTTGCCACTATGGTGACATGAGAAGTTAAATAATTTTTTAGCTTATATAGGGTCTCAAGTTTTATGCATTCTAAAATTATCCTAGCATTTTATCTGTTGTGTAGGAATGCTTTTGGTTTAAAAGTATATCTTCTGTATGAGTGTTTCACCCTCTATTATTTTTTTCAAAAAATTTGCTAAAAATCAACATTTTCTTCTAATTTTATATGCCCCCTTCAATGTATCACCATCACATGTTATTAGACTTGGTGGCGATAGCATTTTTGTTTTGGTAGGTAAACTTCACACCTTTTATGAACCAAAAAACTTGTACCCTTCCCCTCCTCCCCCCTCAGAGAGAGAGAGAGAGCTGCAGATTTGCACTCGTATAGCTATTTGGTTGGGACCATCTCCGTAGTTGTTAACGGTGTGCCTAGGCTCCGAAAACGCCCGAGTCTCATCAAGACTCAGCAGAGTGCCTTAACCTACTACAGGTCAGGCCCTTCAGTTAGGTTCACGTAAAGCCCTCAAGCTCTCGCGTTTTAGCAAACTCGAGGCTCGAACAAAGTGTGCCTCGTATTTTTTTCCTTCTAAATGACCATGAATTTACATACTCTGCATCACATCAAGGTAATTTTTGATGGATCATTATTTTACTCTTATCGACATGAGCTTACTATTTGACTACTTACATTAATTGTTTCTAGCTGAACATTTTTATGATATATAATATTTGTTTAAAATCTACATGACATTGTTTTTTATTGTTGCACATTTTTAATGGTAGTTGATTTATTTAACATCATATGCATATAAGAAGGTTTTATGCAAATTGATTTACTTCATCCTCCAAGTTTATATGTCTTTTTTTTGTTTATATATATATATATATATAGTTGTGTTGCATAACTTGAGTTTTTCTAAATGGATTTTGATTTAATTGAATTCATATGCAAATTTATAAGATAATAGACATGGAATTGATATACTAAAAGATTTCTTTATTTTTGATCTCGACCAGTTCGTGTTGCATATGTGTGTGTGTGTTTTCATATGCTTGTCTTTAATATTCTCTTTTCTCCCACACGCACACCTTAGTGTGCCTTAAGCCTTTATTAACTATGCTTGTCTCTGATATCAATTTTTTTTTGTATTATAATATTGTTTATTTTGCTTATAGTACAATCCCCATGACCCATGGTTATTAGTATTTTTCTTTTTCGTATGCACATCATGTCTATTTCTTTAGTTTTTGGATACAATTATGTGTTTCATTATCGCTCTGTTTCTTTGATGGAGGGAAAGGAGAGAACATTTAAATCTTAAAAATTATTTCCACTCCAGATAGTTGTTAATATTTTAATGTTTTTTTTTTTTTTCTTCCTAGTTGGTACTTACACACACTTGTCTCTTCTGAGACTTGAACCCCTAACCTCCCTTTGGGAAATAAGAGACTGATACCGCTAGGCCACTGGCCCATTGTTAATGCTTGTTCTCTTGCTCTCATTTGCTCTCACTCTCTCAGCTGAGAAGGAGCATAAGAGCTTGGGAAATTTTGTATGTTTTCCACACAATATAATGTTGCACTTAAGTATTAAAATATAAGAGTAACAACTACAAACAACTGCAATTATTTTTAGTATTGCTAGATTTTACCATGGAAGTTATTCTTTCAAGAAGGGAGAAAGAAAGAACTTATGGGAAGTCTCAACCTGACAGGTCCTAACATTGATGGAAGAATTTGGAGTGAAACCAGATGTAATAACTTTTAGCACTATCATGAATGCCTGGAGTGCTGCAGGATTCATGGATAAGTGCAAGGAAATTTTTGATGACATGGTGAAGGCTGGCATAGAGCCTGACATCCACGCGTTCAGCATTCTCGCTAAAGGTTATGTGCGAGCACGAGAACCAGAGAAAGCAGAGGAAATTCTGACTGCCATGGTTGAATCGGGTTCCCAACCGAATGTAGTTATCTTCACAACTGTCATAAGTGGATGGTGCAGTGCTGGTAAAATGGAGGATGCAATTAGGGTTTTCGAGATGATGTGTGAATATGGAATATCTCCCAATTTGAAGACTTTTGAAACCCTAATTTGGGGATATGGAGAAGCAAAGCAACCATGGAAAGCGGAAGAAATGCTGCAAGTTATGGAAAGGTTTAAAGTTCAGCCTCATAAAAGCACTCTTCTGCTGATTGGAGAAGCTTGGCGCGCCACTGGATTAACCAAAGAGGCAAACAAAATAATGGATACCCATCAGAGAGATGCTAAGGAAGAGATACCAGTGGAAAGCTTAGAGAACCTTTATCAGAGGCAAGCTTCCTCTTATTCCAATCCATTGCAGATACCGAGCTCTGTTGCAATTGATCAAAAAGGATCAGCTGCGGTGACGAAAAGAAGCCGGGTGGTGTTGAGAGAAGCTGAGTTTTCATCTGAAAGCTTGTGGACTGCAACTAAATCCATGTACCTCACTTGTAGATTTGGAGCAAGAATGCCAATTATCTGCCGGAAGCAATCTCAGGGGCAGCTTTGTATGCATGGTCAACTTGCACAGTCATGTACAGTGGTGTTTTTGAACTAAAAGGAAGGCAGTATTGCTGGTTTCCTGATGCACACATTGGCTTGTATTTGCCACTGTTGTAGATAGCGACTAAAGGGGGTCTTCATTTCATAAACTTCCTAGTTCCCCGGATAACCTCAAGTTTCTCAGAAAATTGCTGATCATGTAAATGTTTTTCTATGCACCATGTGCATGTGCTAACTGTGCAGTTATACAATTGTTGACATTGTAAGACAGGAAAAGAGGCATTTATTGTTTTTTTGCTTTTCAAGTGGATGTGCTTCTTGACTCTTGAGGTTTGGACTGCATTGATGTGCCATGGATTATTTTGTTTTTGTCACTAGTCTTGCCGTTCAACCTTAGTATGTATAGCGCATGGATAGAGCCTGGCGTAGAGTTCCGCCAGTGATCTAGTTAGACACTACGGCATAAAGCCTTTATTCTCAATTGTCAAAACCTTTGGCCTAATGGTATAACCTCCTCATTTTCAAAGAAGAGGGGAGGGGTTCAAGCCCGACAAAAATGTATGTGTGTGTTTGCTTTACCACCCAAAAAAAAAATGTTAACCTTACCCTATAGGAAGCGGTATCCGATGCAGTATAGCACTGTAGAGGATCCGGACTAACCCTATTGAGCCAGCTCTGCACTGACTTGAGCCTCATGCTTGGTGTTGGAGTGTCCCTGTTCTCCTCGTGCTTGATGTTGTAGTGTCTCTGTTCTTCCCGACTTTGCATGCACAAATGCACTCGGACATTTGTTGGCAAATGCAAATGAGAATCCTCCTCGAGCAAATGAGAATCCTACCCTTATATAGGCGTCCAAGAGACCAACTTTTACACATAGAACAAGGAAAGAAAACTTATGCATACTCATATCCACCGGAGCTTTCCAAATGAAGTTGTTCACAATTCTATATCATGGCATGTCCATATCAAAGCAGAACTCTTAAACCCATGTTGATCTTATTGCTTAGATTGATGCTTTAAGAAGAGGAACAAGTTCCAATTTTTGGATTTGATCTCAGAGAACCTATTTAAAAACCAACTCCTATCAAAGACTACCAGGAAGCCAGCAGTTTCCGCTATTTCAACAAATTCGCGTCACTTCATAAAATGCCATCTTATATCATTCTCTCTCAAATTTCTGTGGTGAATCAGATTAAGGTATTTATCAGAAATCCTACAGCCAACTATGCGTCAAGTGCATTTTCAAAATTCAGGTAGAAGAATACCTTCCGGGGGATAAAAATTAAAAATAAAAATCATCAAGTGGAAGAATGCAACATTGTTATGGATAATAACAACAAAAAACTACGTGACAAATTTCCTTCTGCAATTATCCGTATAAAAATAATACAAAGTTACATTCAATTATCAAATTCTATCTGTTTTATTCCGTACAGTCTATACATTTTGGTCTGGAGGCTGAGAAGGAACTCTGCTCAGAAGCCATATTAAAGCTACACCAATAAGAGCACCAGATAGATGTGCTATGTGATTGACATTCTGGAAGGCGCCTCCACGGAAACTGCCTGACAACCCTGTTGAAGCCTGAGCTGCTTCCATCACCTGATTTACCCGACAGAGCATCAAGAAATATTCATACACCAAAAGCTTCAAAAACTAAATAATCAATAACATTTCTCTTAGAAAACTTCTTGTGGTGGACAAGATGCGAATATCTAAGGAGTCAGTTTTTTGTGCACATGCCCATTGAGAAAAATACTAAAATGACCACTACACTATTGGTTTTACCAATATGGGATGCTGGGAGGCGTGGATTGGATATGACCAAACGTTTCGCTTTTTCCATAGAAAAGCTGTTCTCGAAACTCAACCCCACGTGTGCTCATTGGTATAGTTCATTAATTATAATGTACAGATGATCAGATGATATATCTGTCAGGCTCTTGCAACCCTATATAAATTATTTAAATTCAACCTCATATGTGATCATTGGTGTTCTCCTCTGCCTTCTTACACATAAAACACCAATTTAGGAAAGCATATTCCCTTCTTGCCCAATACTATCTATAGTTAAGATCAACTCCAAGGCTACCGATCAGAAAAAAGAGAGACATCTTATAAAGTGCTATCAGCGGCCATAGATCCTTCCAGGGACAAAACAGGCCTCTCCTACCAAGAAGTGCTCTATAATTAGATCATACAACCACCAGTTAATTCTTGGAACACTTTCACGTGTAGACATCCTCACTCCACCCACAAGCAATGAAGCTATACAGAAACTTAAAGAAGGTACCCAGTGTCTTCAACTTTCAGGCAGAATAATCAAAACTTAATAATAAACCAATACTGTAAAAACCATAAAAATGAAAAAAGCTCATAAACAAATATCTGGACTAGGAAGTTCATGCTAAAAGTCATAGACTCACAAAGCTGGCACTTTAAGAGACCATTCTATTGTTGTTAGTTTACACATGGCTATTAACTTCAAAATTGAAGGCTTAAGTCCTGATGCAAACATCCTACTTAATACCTAAATGTGTAATAAGCATATATGAAGGTGGTGGTGTTATTTTCTATTTAAAACTGTTTTCCTGCAAACTATTTATGTAAGAATTAACCTTTCAAGCCGATAAAGAGTGGTCAAATATTTTCACTTCAATCTTGGCTCATTAAGTTATACTTTATGATAGAAATGGATATATATTTTGTGAAGTGTTAATAATGATTATGAGAAAAATGGGATGACACATTTGTTGGTGGAATTCGGTTTATTTAGGAGTAAGAATTGCTTATTTGCTTACCTTCTCTATGACAAATTGACCCAGTATAAGTACTTCAAGGATCTTTCTCCAGTCCCAAGACATCTACAGAAAGCACCAAGAGAGTATTAGACCAGCTTACACATATTGTTTCCACAATGTAGAGTTTAAATTAATTACCTTCACAAGGACACTAACTGCAAAAAGTCCAAATACAGCACCAGAGGCTCCAACAGAAACTGCATTTCTTGGGAGAACCAGCCAAGAAACAAGGTTTGCTCCAGCACCTGTTAGGATATAAGAAAGCCACAATGCAAAGTTTCCTTCCTCCTCTTCAACAAGCTTTCCTGTTCAGGAAAAGAAGTATACATCTACAGTTTAGAACTTACTTGTATTAGACTTGGATCATGTATGTAAACTCTCAACATTTGAACTGAGGAAATATATCTTACCAAAAATATACAAGAAAAAAAGGTTGCTAGAGAGATGGTTCCTGTTAAGAATAAACAGATAACATCAAAGAGTGGGGGGTGTAAAGCATTTGATGGTTCGGTTGTGTAGATCAAGGACCACAAGTATTTCCATTTGACCATACAGTATGCTTTCAAATATTAATTCCGTTATTGCAGCCTGACTTATTTATATAAAAATAAATAAAATAAACACGAGCATTCTGATGTCTATGCATCCCTACATGCTATAGAAGTCTCACCAATTAGCATGACAGAAAGTTGCTGTCACAAACTGATACCAAGCGGGCCAATTGTGATACAAATACAATGCTTTGATCCCCCGAACCTGAAAAAATGCAGAAATTCAAGACAGACCTACCCTGCCATTAATACCAAAAAAAATAACTAAATAAAATAAAATAAAAATAATGATAGAAATATCAATTTCCTATGAAGCTACTTTTCCATTTATATCAGGTAATCAGCTTTGAAATCATGATGTGTCTCCATATTTCATAACTATGATGGATTGCACAAAATATTTCATAAAATTAATCTTTTGGAGACTTCCATTCTAATTCACCCAATATTATAACCTTTCTCCAATACAAAAGAAGAGAGCCTGATGAAGAGCCAAAATATTTTGGTACCTGAAACAGGTGATCTGCCGCGTAAATTCCGAGATTAAGGAGTAGGATCCAGAAAATTCCATTCACACGTTTCTCCGGTTTCCGCTTCTCTTCCGACTTCCCAAGTTCAAGCTGTGATATCATATCTAGTAAACATATTATAAATTGCTTCAACTTTTCCCTACTTCTTTGAATTTAGGTTCAGTAATATACACAATAAGAAGGAAACAATACTGTCATGCTTCAAGTATTAATGGGAACAGAATGTTCCAGGATGAATGCAAGCTTCATTTGATATTAAGGAGCCTGAAATCTGTGAATGTTACTGCAAAAACTCATACCACTATTTCATTCGCATTGATGTTATGATGATGAAAAACCACACTCCCAAAACAAGGAAACAGGCTTCCCTTTTTTTCCTTTTTAAATAAGAAAAATTGTAGGGCCACATTCTTTTCATAACAAGCAAAATATTTCGGTAACACTTATATAGCAATAATATTATCTAAGAAGCATAGACGCTTATAAAAGAGTAGTGTCATACATATGGTTGACAACTTGACCTCAACAATTTCTAAAACTACAGTTATGTGTTTGACTGTAGATAATATAGAAATAAAATTAGTTAGTTAGGTAAGGTAAGGCAAAAGACACTTTCTGGACACTCAGCAATATATGACCAATGAATCTAGTACATTATGCATGAGAAAAATATAACTGTAAAGAAAAAATCATGTTAACAGGAGATTTTACAGATTTTTGACCATATATGAAAAAAAAAAAAAAAAAAAAAAAAAAGGAAAAAGAAAAAAAAAAGTACGATAGACGAAAGTTTAATGAAATAAGTGAACATGAGAAGAGGAAAGGGGTTGTCATTGTTATTTGTACACATGAACATCCTCATATATAAACTCACACACACAGACATTGTGTCAGTCCTATATTATTGTCTATACTACAAGGGTGATGATTGATTTTATGATTCACAAGTTACCCTGCTAAATCCATATAATATTTAATTTACTAACAATATTGCAATGCTTATTTAAAAATAGTTGTCGCCTTTCCTCATTGTGCCCGTGTCTTAAATTTTTTAAAATTTGCTGTGTTGAAGTGTCATGTCATGTTCATGTCCTATGTACATTTCATGCTCCATATAATATATATGACATGGTTGAACAACAATGACTCTGATAAGCTTTATGTCACGACCCACCCTACTGTGTAGATTTTGTCCGCTTTGTACACTCACTGTCATCGTGGTTTTCAAAACACGTCTACACAGTTAGAAGATATCCACACATACAAATGCCAAAAACATCTCCTCCTAGGCGATGTGGGGTGTAACAATCACCCCCTCTTGGGACACAACATCCTCGTTGGCTTGACCCTCATGGGTTTGTGCTCGCTCCTCACATTTGCGGCTTGTTGGCTTGACCCTCATGGATTTGTGCTCGCTCCCTTTGATACCATCTACCACGAGTCAGAATCCGCTCCACCCTGTGTAAATACTGTCCATTTTGCACACTCTCCATACTCATGGTTTTCAAAACGCGTCTACACAATTAGGAGGCATCCACACATATAAGTGTCATGAACTTCTCCCCCAGCGATGTGGGATGTCACACTTTCCTTCCAATAACTTCGTGAAGCATCAACGCTTCAAATTAAGAGTAAAAAAGTCGCATCAAATTCAGGTTGAAATGTTGTCCAGGATTCCAAAATTATATTTGATTTATCCTCCTAACAACTTAGTGGAGCATCTTTTGGACATACAGTATTTGATCAAACATGCAACCACCACAACATAAAAAAAACTAACTTCATGTCAACAGATTACATGCAGTATTATAATTTTGACCTTAATGCATAACATGTAGTTATTTCCTCTAAAAAAAGGAACTCCCAAGAAGATAAAAGGAACAAGTCAGACTTTCACACACCAGATGCTTGTCAAATTTCCAACAACAACACAGACCATCAGCAACAAATAATTGACTCGAAAAACAACAAATCAACCACTTGCTCAAAAACCCAAGTAAATACCAACGAACCAATGACTTAATGGTATCAGCCTCTTACCTCCTAAAGGGAGGTCAGAGGTTAAGTCTTGAAAGAGGTAAGTGTGCCTGAGTACCAATTAAAAAAAAAAAAAAAAATTTAAATGCTACAAATTTCATCAACAAATTAGAATTATTCGCTAAAACTAAGAACACACAAAACTGCCATCAACCCAACAAAATTGAACTTCAATAATCCAACTTTCTACTCCCATAAGGTGATTTGAAGTAAATCCACATCAGAGAAAGAGAGAGAGTTTGCTCAAAAACCCAATTAAATGCTATAAATTTCATCAACAAATCTTAATTATTCACCAAAAACAAAAACACACAAAACCCACCAACCCAACAAAATTCAACTTCAAGCTCCAACTTTCTACTGCCATAAGCTGATTCAAACTAAAATCGCATCAGCGAGAGAGAGGGGGATAGTTTACCTGAACCGTTCGTTTTGCAGACGAGTCGAGATGGAGAGGAGAGAGAAAGTAGGGGAAAACTGAATCCGGTGTGGGTTCGAGAAAAGGAGGGAAGTTTTGGAAGGGAATTGAAGGGAGGTTGAGAAAGAGGCTGAGGCATGGCCATGGGCATGAGTTTGAATGAAGTATGAGGTCTGAGCGGTGTGAGGAGTAGCTGGAACTGCCCCATTTTCTGTTTCGGGGAAGAGAAACAATCCCGCCAAGGAGAAATCCGCCCAGAGTCGTCGTTATATGTACCACATATTGTGTGTATAACAACAGTAATTTTACACACTTTTTTTTTTCCTTTTTTTTTTTTTGTGTCAATGATGGTAAAGGTCCTAACCAGAAATTAAATTTTAATCTGATTTTTTCAGATCAATTAAGTTGGGTTTAAATATATATATATATATATATATATATATATATATATATAAAAGTTTATATTTATAACGTATTTTAAATATCCTTTAAAAAATAAGTGTCACTTGTAAAAATTTTAAATGACAATAATTTCACATAAATGTTGAACGCTTGATCTAAAAGAATATAAATTTTAAAAATAATCAAGTTAAAATTATCACTTAAAATTTTAGCAGTTCACAGCGTTGTAATTTAAATGCATAATCTTTTTCAAATACTTCTACTAGTTAACTCTTATATTGAGTCAGTGACACCATTATAGAAATTACAAATAACATTTTGGTGTTTGTTTGAGTCACAAATTTTGATCACGGGCGCATTGTACACTAAATATATTTTTATATTATATATATATATATATAACAGCGGTTTACAGAGTACATATTTCAGATGAGAATGAGAATGAGGTAAATCAATAAATTACATTTATAGAATATAGTAAAATAATTTAAGAAAAAAAAATATATAAGAAACATATATAGTATAAAGGGGAGGGGGACACTTTTACATATTTACAAAAAAATATATACATATTTATAGAAATATATATACAGAAAATAAGGGAAGGAAAAAATAGGGGTGGGGGGGAATTTTTTGGGATATTCCAATTTTTAACTTTTCTAAATTGTACTTAGATTTTGAAAAAGTTCGTCTCAAAGAAGGACATTTATTTTGGGCCTTTACGGGCCAACTGAAATCCAATCCCTTTACTGGATTGGACCTATAATGGGTTTCAAGTTAAAGTGCTTCTTGGGTAAGGACCATCTTCTTCTTTCTAACCCTGCTTTTTATTCATCATTATTTATTTTTTAATTTATGGATCTATTGCAAAGGGTTCAATACGTAATCTCATATTCAATATATATGAAAAATTCCTTTCAAACTTAAAAACTTAACTTCACCAATCAATAAATACAGAATGAAAGGTGAGCAATGCACATGAAGGATATGACATCATCTTGTTCTAATCGTATTGTTTAGTTGACATAAATTTTCAACTTGTACAACATCATACATTGTTAGGATCGATATTCACATTTGAAGAAGGATAAATAATTTGTTACTTTGAGATTTGTATTCACTTTTGTTTTTTAAGGTGATCTTTGTCCCACTGAGTTTACTAATGGATTCTCGGTAAAACGCTTCCAATGTATAACAAAGCTCAAATCTGTAGTTACTAAGAATTTGAATACTCCTTGAAACTATTTATAATTTGACTGAAGATGGTAACAATGACAGAGATAAAGAGTGTATATTATATTGTACTTAATTTATGAATTTTATTTTATTTTATTTTATTTTTTTTCTCATCTGGCAAACACAACACCACCAAAGCAAAAACAAACGAGAAATCTCCCACACATCCCATGTAGCTAGAGGTAGAATTGAAAGTGGCACAAACAGAAGAATGCAATCGAAATTCGTTGGACCCCAAGACAAAGATGCAAGAGCATGCATGAGCCACTCTATTCCCAAATCTCCTAACATGAGAAATTTAGGCAGAAAGAAGCATCTTTTAAGACTTTAACGCTGTTTTAATATCATAAATAAGCGATGCAATTTCTATAGAAACACTTCCACCACCAGCCACAGTCTCAACAATTAGCTTTGCATCTGATTCAAAGTACGCATTTAATAAAGGAAACGAGTTAGTCCAGAAAATGGCATGTCGAAGACAAACGGTTCCGCTACCAATGCCGAAGATGAAGGAAAAGGTTTAAACACAACTGTTGACTTAAATAATTTATGAATCACGTACCCTAATTATATAGTACAAATGGTTGCCAATTTGAATCCAAAAGAACAGATACGTATGCGAAGAATAAACATGTTTATTCAAGAGTATATACTACTCTTTAAAAATAGATGTGTATTGTTTAAAATACTTGATAGAAGGTGACCCTTGCCAATTGGTATTTTATATTTATACAACATTTCACTCTTTATATTAAAATATATCTAGCATAATACAAAAAAAAAAAAAAAAAATTAGAATAAACTTATTGTTAGAGGGTTTTTGTCTCTCATTAAATCTTTATGAAAAGGGTTTCGAGTTTATAACCTAATAACTTAAATTATTATTATTATTTTATTTTATTTTTTTGTCAAATGATGGGCACCTATAATAAAAACAACACCTATTAACAACACTCTCGCCTCCCCTACTCATCAAGTGGTAAATAAGTCAAGGACTTGGCGTAGGAGACCACATGGAGGGGGCCGTCAATATGGACGACACGTGGTCTATGTTCAATCCCCAGCCTAAGGGCCCGTTTGGCATGCGTTTTACTTTAGGCGTTTTGTTTTTGACTAAAACAGAAATAGCGTTTTTACTATTAGAGTGTTTTGGCAAAAATCGGAAGCATGTTTGGGAACGATTTTTTACTGTAAAAATGTCGGAAACAAAAACATGCAAAACATGTTTGGTAAGTCATGCGTTTCAAGAATTTTAAAAACAAAACATGTTTGGTAGCTCTAACTGTTGTAAACAAAATAAAACAGAAACAAAAAACATGTTTGGTTATCATTGTTTTTAATTTATTTTTATAAATTTTAAATTTATTTATAAATTTATTTCTATATAAATAGTCTATATATTTTTAATAAATATATTAAAATTTGAACACACAAATACACACACACACACACAGAGCATGTTATCTTGATCTGAAACTACACTTTAAGTTATTTGAAATTTCCTGGTATAGTTTGTTCCTTTGGTGATGATTGTCCATAGGTTTGTGTTTCATTCATTTTGCTCATTTTTCGCATTAGCGAAAGAAGAAAAAAAAAATACTACACAGCGCTGATAATAATTTTCGACTCTTATAAGTCTGCATTGGTAGAAATTTAACTCCAAAATACAGATTCTTGCCTTCTCTTTTGTAAAAAAATGTAAACCCCCACCAAATTATATATATATTAATTTTTGTAATAACCTATTTACAAGTTATTTGTAATAACCTACTTCAATTTTATTATCATTATACATGTATAGTCCAACTCAATATTAAAAATAAATAATCTCTAGTCACATTTTACTATACTACATGAGAATCAACGTTTGTAAAAAAATTTGCAATAACCTATTTACAAGTTCTTTACAATAACCTGCTTCAATTTTATTATGATTATACCTGTATAGTCCAACTCAACATTTAAAATAAATAATCTCTAGTCACATTTGACAATACTACATGAGAGTCAATATTTGTAAAAAAAATTTGCAATAACCTATTTACAAGTTCTTTGCAATAACCTAATTCAATTTTATTATCCTAATACCTGTATAGTCCAACACAACATTAAAATAAAAACAAACTCAATTGAAAGCATAATTGAAATAGAATGTATAACATTTACAAGTCCTTAAATATTCAACCAACAAATTAAACAAGTTTAAGTTGTACATAAAATGTTTGGAACAAAGCATTAATAATACATAGTTGTCACTAAAAATTGATAAGAAGTTCATAAAGTGGATGCAATGGCAACGACACATCATCTTCATAACAGCACATGTGGCCTTCAAGAGAGCATCAACACACTTCATATCTGCAATAATAGCATTTAAGTTGAATTATATATCTGTAAAAAAGATTTATATTACATATATATATTGCAAGCTCACAATAGCAACAAATATATTACATATAAAAGAAAAAATATACCATCACTTTCAGAAGGATCAAGAGTGCTGAAGAGAATTCCAAATTTGATCAGCAATAGTATTACGCAACTGATCCATTTCTCGAAGCTGAGCCGAAGGCACATGCTCAACAATCTCATCATCTTCACCATCACTTTGAGGAGGATCATTACCATCAAATATGTCATCAGGCTGATGCTGATTTTTGATGAAATTATGTAATGTGCAACAAGCCATTACAATCAATACTTGTGTTGAAAACTTATAAGGAGGCATTGCCCTCAAAATAGCGAATCTCATCTTCAATAACCCAAAGCATCGCTCAATTATATTTCTCAAAGATGAATGCCTATGATTGAACACTTCCTCCCGACCACGAGGTTGTCTAGTCCTACGGTATTCCTGAAAGTGGTAAGTATGACCTCGAAATGGGGCCAAATAACCAGGCTTATTGGCATACCCTGAGTCCACCAAATAATACTTACCTGCCATGTTTAGAATACATAAAGATATATACAATATGATAAACTAACCATATATTAAGTGAATTTGTAAAATAATATTACCTGCTGGTGGAGCTGGAAAGTTCATTGCCTCATTTTCAGTACACTCATTTAGGATTCTCGAATCATTAGCTGAGCCTTCCCACCCAGCTAGCACATATGTGAACCTCATGTCAAAGTCACATACAGCCATTACATTTTGTGTAGTATAACCCTTTCTACCACGAAATGGAAGTTGTGTACTTGCTGGCAGAGTTGCAGGAATGTGGGTTCCATCTATAGCTCCCACACAATGCCTGAAGTAAGGGTAAAACCTAGAAGACTCTCTAATCTTATTCGGAATCACAGAAAAATTAGGAGGGGCAATGATATGGGTGCCCAACTGACATACTGCATGCAACACAGCATGGAAGTGTCTAGAAATGGTTTCAGTGGAGTGTTGAAATCTCTCTGCTACAACACGATTCCTTTGATTATGAGATAAAGTGAGCAAAAAGATTGCCACTTGTTCATAAACAGTTAAAAATTTAGAATCCTTCAGCCCTATACCTTTCAGGGTACTACACAATGTTCTGAAAACTTCAGGGTACATCCTAAAATTTTCATAACATCTTTCTCTATGGCCGTTTAGAATCTCCATAACATATGTTTCCCCTTGTAAAATGGAATCCCTACAACGCCTCTTTTGATAGAAGTTCTGCTCTTCTAAAAGAGCAGCAAATATTAAGACACTCTCATTGTCCTCCTCATCGTCATATAATTGAATTATTCTTCTTA